ACAGATTGTAAAAGTTCACGGTGTTTTCCCTAATTAACTTACAGATATAGAGATTATGCCATTCTTTATAATATAATCACAATAGAAGCCTGTCCTTTCCTCAATACAAAAGACCTTTGCAAAGAAGTATAGGCATGGACAGAGTAGATTACAGTAACAAATAATCAGGACATCAAAAACTACAGGAAGTTTAATCTCTCTCAAACCACACTTGACTTGGCCCCTGGATGATAAAATTCAAACAGTCTTCTGATTTAATCTGGACTGAAATCTGGACTGAAAATTCCACTAACGACCAGATGTCAGCAAAGAGAGTTTCTATACTGTACTTCAGCTGGATTTTTGAAGCCAAGATCTGATGGTTATACTCTGATCACTTATATGTCTATCAGAACTAAGAAGAAAGTTTATTCAAGAATGTACATAGCACTACTAAAAGCAAGCCAGAATATACAGCCCTTTCATCTAATTTAGCTCCTGATTTAATTAAGCTTCTAACTAAAAACAGACCAAGGTAGATTAAAAGGGAAGAATTATAAATGATTGGATATCATTCAATATAGGGACCTTCCTGGAGCTATAACAAATACTGTGCAGCTGACTGACAAATAAATAGATTGGTCTGAATGCACTTTCAGGAGTCCCACTGATTTCATTAAATTTACTTTTGTCTCAGGTTCATCACCCACTATTTTATAAGTAGTGCAGATAAAACACATAGATACTTGCTGGTAGCTAACATGAAGAAAAAAGGAAAATATCTTACAGGCAGATATGATTGTATCAGCACAGTAATAGCTTCTTAATGGAGTAGTGTATCATAGCAGCAGGGTATGAAGAAGGGCAGGTTACAATCAGCAAAGTGGTTCACTTAATCATTGGAATTATTCAATTAACATGGGCCAATAAATATTTTATAAATAAATATTTTATTAATCCAGGGTAAAAAGAGTTTATTTAACATCTGACAATAAAAACTTTCTCACTGAGCATGCTGTGCAATGTAGTATGGTTAACTCAGAACTCTTGACTAAACAAACTAAAGTTATAGAGAAATTAATTCCTTAATTCCTTAACACCTAAAATTCAAATAGAGCATATCCACTAAATTTAGTAATGCCGTTGTTGAATTTTGGGAAAGTCAACCCAAGTGGAAGACAATCAAGTGGGCAAAGCTGTAATGGATTTTCTAATCAGAGAAAGGCTAAAGAATCAATGGTCTTAATCTATAGATGAACTACAACTCAATACAATACCTACAAAGTTCAGAATTGTTCAGATGTTCTTTTCCCTCTATGGATGTGAAAGATCACTTTTGAAGAAGCAGGATTAAAAAGGATTTTGAACCTTTGGTAGTAGAGAAGACCCTCAAGAATACTATGAACAATAATAAACCCAAATAGATCATAACCAATCAGAATTTTCACTCAGGTCACTCAACAAGGAAAGGTAGAAGGAAAGGCAGGAAGAGACTGACCAAAAGGTAGGTAAATATAGTTGATTACATTGGCAGTGGAAGATCTGAAGAGCTACACTGGCTCATCCCAGAAAATATCTCCTAATGTGGCTGCTAAGAGTGAATACCATTATTAAATGAGTATTCAATGGCACTCAGTCAATCAGTCAATCTTGACTGGAACAGGAAATTGGACAAACCTTCATGTACAAGTAGTCCTCAACTTACAACAGTTCATTTAGTGACCGTTCAAAGTTACAACAGCACTGAAAAAAGTGGCTTATGACCATTTTTCACAATTACAACTGTTGTAGCATCCCCATGGTCACGTGATCAAAATTCAGACACTTGGCAACTAACTCATATTTACGACGATTGCAGTGTCCAGAATCATGTGATCCACTTTTGCAACTTTCTGATAAGCAAAGTCAATATGGAAGTCAGATTCACTTAACAAGTGAGTTACTAACTTAACAACTGCAGTGATTCATTTAACAACTTTGACAAGAAAGATCATAAAATGGGGCAAAACTCACTTAACAAATGTCTCTCTTAGCAACAGAAATGTTGGGCTCAGTTGTGGTTGTAAGTTGAGAATTACCTGTAGTTGTGGTTATAGTTCTCTGAATAGGTCCTTCAAGTGAACAACAGGGTTAGAACTACAGAGATTGAAATAAAAATTCTTCATTTAAAAAAAAGAGTGAGAAAGCTATGAATTGTCTGGATGAGAATTGAACGAGAGGGTGAATGCTTCCTCTCTGAAAATCAGATGCTTTGCTTGCTAGAATCATTTGCCATTTCCCCCATTTATGCAATGATTCTGCATTTTTAAAGGTTTGAAATTAAGAGATTCAAAAATTTATTTCCACCTCTCTCAAAGGAAATTATTTTTTCTTCTGACACTTCTTACAACCTTGATAGCATTATTAAATGATCTAGCTATTATGGAGAAGATTTTTATGGAAGAGATATTTAATGAAGGAACAGATGTAAAACTTTCAGTAGCCAAGTGCAATATTAAATCATTATTATTTTACATATTTACATATTGCTATTGTATGACAGATATATACTCTGCACATTTCCAAAGATCATTGAGGAAAACCACCTTTGTCTTATTACTTTTGCTTACTCCCACCATGAATAGTAGAGAGGGCATGCTCCAGGCCTCTTGTTCTCTTGTTGTCATCTTATTGGACACTGGAGTTGTGCCTCCTCAGTGGCAGCGCCTGCCTTGCGGAACAGCATCCCCAGAGAGTTCTGGATGACCCATTCCTGTTAGCCTTTCACATTGAAGACATGGCTGATCCTGCAGACATTTGAGCATTTGAGTCAGAGTGGATATGAGCTCTGCTGCTATGGAGAATTAATAGTTAATTGTTTATCCTTGAGCACTGGGGGGTTATATTGTGAGGAAAGGGTGTTTTGAATATTGTAATCTGCCCAGAGTCATTTGGCAGCTTAAATGATTATATTATAATATAACCTTACACATATATATTCTTATCTAAATAATTTAAATGAATAAAATCAAAATGAGAACTTCTGGATAGAAAATACCATTAGCAATATGTAAAATAAGATCCACAGTGGTGCAGAGATTAAAATGTGTATTGCAAGCTAATTTAGCTCACTGCCAAGAGTTCAATCCTCACTGACTCAAGATTGATTCAGCCTTCCAGCCATACAAGGTAGGTAAAATGAGGACCCAGATTTTGGGGGGCAATATGATGATTCTGTAAACCACTTAGAGAGGGCTGTAAAGCACTATGGAGCAATATATAAGTCTAAGTGTCATTGCTATTATAATACTCATGGCAAAGGTGCAATTATAATCCTCATGGCAAAAGTCTAGTCACAATAAATATTTACTTGTCAGACCAATCATTAGTGTAAACATGTATGTTACAAGTTTGTGTCCTTGGGAAAGTGCTCTGCAGTTTCATGGGATATGGTTAAAAAAAAAAACACTAGATGACAGTCATGATTATGTGATTGAAGCTCTATCTGATTTACAAACACATAAAACCAGGCAGAACTTCAATCACATCACTGCAGCTCCCATCTTAACTTTTTTATGCCACACCCTGCAAATACCCTTGGAAGATTATTGCTAGTTACACAAGGAGAGCTATAATTTTTCTCCCACATTTTATACAGGCAAATTCTATTCCATATGGTTCTGATTCCAAAGTTATCCTTCAGTGATATGAGAACTATAAGCCAGTCTCTTAACAGAATGGAGAAAAGGAGGACAATGGGATTCCTCAAAATAATTTCAGTGACTTCCTTAAACATTTACAGCCTTCTGTGTTGTTCTGTTCATTTATCATCAAATTACGAAGGCCATGAGGCACAAATAAAAGAGGAAAAGAAACAGCTTTCAGCATTGTCAGTTCCATGCTCCTGCATAATCTGCTGAAATATATATATATATATATATATATATATATATATATATATGTTTTCTGAGGTTTTCGCGGGTGTTTGTATGTAGGTCTTTGGTTGTTCGGGTTTCTCCCGCGGGAGAAAACCCGAACAACCAAAGATATATATATATATATATATATATATATATATATATATATATATATATTGCAAAACTCTTGAAGCTTAAAGAAGAAAAGGCTCTGTGCACTATTTACATACACAGCAATCAAAATATTCATCTGGAGGAAGAGATTGCAAAGTTGGATGCCTAGCTGAATCTGTGTGTTTACTCATGAAAAAAAGGTACATTCACTCTAGTGATTGCATACATGTGTGCACATCCATGGATTTGTATTCATGCAGATGAGCAGCAGACTTTCTTCAGACTTCAGGCTCAACAACAGAGATGGCAGTTGAGCCAGACAGCAGGAACCAACCAGAGAGGACAGCTCCAGTCTATAAAACCCAGCCCCAAGCAACAGACTCCATTTGAACAGCCTGAGCCAATTCATCAGCATACAGATTTGGCACCTGACTTCTGCCTGCATCCAAAAAGACATCCACCTTCTTTGATTTTGCATTTATACTCTGATGCTTATTTCAGGTCAATTTATACTAGGATTATTTTTTACATTTTAAATATTTCTTTCTAGAAAGATTTAATAATAAGGCTGCTTAGAGGAAAAGAATTTTTCCCTGAGACAAAGAGAAGTGAAAAGTCAGTAAGGAATTAATGAAGAAGTGAAGAAAGGGAAAGAGGATATTATTCCAAGAAGAAACTTATCTTAAAGAATGGATACCAAAGCGAAAAATGAAAATTAATCAAGATTTTTTGTATAGTCTAAATATTGGAAGAGATTTGTAAATTTTCTAAAACCATAAACATGCTGTTTAGAAATAATTGTGCTGCTAGTTAAATCTGAATAAATAACAGAGCCAAATATGGTCAGTAAAAACGAAAAAATGGACCAAATCCAAGATGGAGAATCAGTTCAAAATGCTTTATTGCTATTACACTACTAGTGTGTTCTAATTTCAGAAGAGAGAAACTTAGCTTCTCAGCTGCCTAGAGCATATACCAACACATTTCTGAAAAACCACCCAACCTTAATTAATGGAGAGGAACGCTACATATTTTAGGAGCTTCTTGGAGAGCTCTCTGCTGGAAAACATCAAGCCACTGAGTGGGGGCCTCAACAAGTCCATTCTCCATACCCGAGATGAAGTACTTGCTAAGGCTGAGATTGGGATTCTGGCTGCTATCCTGGCAGTGACTGTTGTGGGAAACCTGTGTATCCTTCTGGCCATGTATCGCCTTCGGAAGAAGATGAGCCGGATGCACCTTTTCATTCTTCACCTGGGATTGACAGACTTTGGGGTGGCCCTCTTCCAGGTATTCCCCCAGATGATTTGGGAAATGACCTATCGTTTCCAGGGTCCTGATCTACTCTGCAGGGTTGTCAAATACCTGCAGGTACTAAGCATGTTTGCCTCTACATACATGCTCATTGCCATGACACTGGATCGCTACATGGCTGTGTGCCACCCACTGCGTACTCTACGGCAGCCAACCTGCCAAGCATATCTAATGATTGGAGTCACTTGGCTACTAAGTTGCTTGCTTAGCATACCTCAGCTCTTCATCTTCTCAATAAGGGAGGTCCACCAAGGTTCTGGTCTGCTGGATTGCTGGGCAGAGTTCAAATACCCTTGGAGCGCAAAGGTGTACATTACATGGATGACTTTGTGTGTCTTTGTACTGCCGGTGGTCATCCTCTCAGTTTGTTATGGCCTGATCTGTCATAAGATCTGCAAGAATCTTAGAGGAAAGACACAAAGGTGTGGTCTCTCTGCAGCGGATGCCATCTCATACACAGCCAGATACACTGATCAGAATGGAGTAGAAGGGTGTCATTCTGGCTCCCGGGTTAGCAGCGTGCGTACCATCTCCCGTGCCAAGATCCGCACAGTAAAGATGACTTTTGTCATAGTGATGACCTATGTTGCTTGTTGGGCACCTTTCTTCAGTGTACAGATGTGGTCAGTGTGGGATAAGAATGCACCAAATGAGGGTGAGTCACTTTTAATTGGAGGGATGGGGTACCAGTTTGAGAAATTTAGTTTGCTGCCAGAGTCATAGATTGGGTTTATAGCCAATATAATTACTGGATTTCAGTCAGGATTTCAGATAGAACAACTATGGTTTTTATTTCAATTCCATATCAGTAGAAAAGGGAATTAGGGCAGATTTATTAAAAATACAATATAAGCAATGAATACTCTATCACACTTGCTCATATATACATTTTATCCATCTATTCTACTTTCATAAGCCGATGGAGAAATCTATCACCATTCACCATGCCTTGGCAAAAAGTGAAGGGAAGTAAATATTCTAGCATCTATCTAAATATCTTATACTATCTAGGTACTATAATGCTGAGTGCTTCAGCTGTCATAAACATCCATACAGTAATATGTACTGTAATGTTTGCAACTATCCAACGTATTAAGGCAGAATGAAATTACTTTTAAATTGAAAGAAAATTGCAAGTAACTTGATTTTGTTCCCTTTGGGGTATTTTTTTTTAAAAACTACATATTTTAATATTTTTGCAAAATACACAGGTGCCTAAATTATGCCTTTGAAATAATTACAAGCTAGAGAAAAAATGTTTTTGTAACTTAGTTGATAACATCTGTCTATTACAAATATGCATGAATATTTACAATTGTACATACAGGTAGCCCTCAACTTACAACCACATGTAGACCAGAATCCATTTCTAAACAAGGTAGTAGTTAAGTGAGTCATGCCTGATTTCATGAAGTTTTGGAGCAGGGCTGTTAAGCGAATCACTGCAGTTAAGTGAATCATTTGATTGTTAAGCAAATACAGCTTCCCCCATTGACTTTACTTGTCAGAAGCCAGCTAGGATGTTGCAATAACAACAACAACAACAACAACAATAATAATAGGACCTTGGAGGTCATCTAGTCCAACCCCCTGCTCAGGCAGGAAACCCTATATCATTTCAGATAAATGGCTGTCCAGTCTGTTCTTAAAAACTTCCAGTGTTGGAGCATTCACTGCTTCTGGAGGCAGGTTGTTCCACTGGTTAATTGTTCTAACTGTCAGGAAGTTTCTCTTTAGTTCCAGGTTGCTTCTATCTTTGGTCAGTTTCCATCTGTTGCTTCTTGCCTTGCCTTTATGTGCTTTGGAGAATAGCTTGACTCCCTCTTCTTTGTGGCAACCCCTGAGATATTGGAACACTGCTATCATGTTAGCCCTCGTCCTTCTCTTCATTAAACTAGACATACCCAATTCCAGCAACCGTTCCTTATATGTTTTAGCCTCCAGATCTCTAATCATCTTTTTTGCTCTTCTCTGTACTCTTTCTAGAATCTCAACATCTTTTTTATATCGCAGCCAGCATATATTTACATCATAAATATATACTGGCTACTAAATGTCTAAATTTTTATCATGTGACTGTGGGGAATGCAGTGGTCATAAGTGTGAGGACCAGTTGTAAGTTTTTTTTCAGTGCCATGATAACTTCAAATGGTGGCTGTATGTCAAGGACCTGCATTAAATTTTCCTTAAGTTCTTTATAGAACTATACTCAAACTAGCTATGTTATCTACAATCCTTTGTCACATAATATATTTTTTAAATTAAAAATAGCAACATTGGAATTTATAATTTGAAGCAATAAACACATTTAAAAATATAATCACTAGCTGAAGATTTGAAATTAAAATTCACAACAGCAAAATTTACCAAGTTGCAAAATGTGGGAGATGAGGAATAATTGTTCCAGTGCTTATAGTGCTAAGTTCAGATCTCCAAGGGTTTGAATTCTTTTCTAAACATACAAACAAAGCACCAAGTTAGCATTATATTCTAAGTGTGTGTGTGAAACTCACTTGCTTTATTTATGCAAATATCAAGATTCAAGCCAAGCCCCGCTATTGCTGCAGATGCCTCAAACTTGCCCATTTGGCTGGCTGGGGAATTCTGGGAGCTGAAGTCCACAAGTCTTAGTGGCCAAGTTTGAGGACCCCTGTTCTAAGATATAGAATGACTTTGCCATTCTATGACATATCTAAAAGAGCCTGTGTTTTCACTCCCAATGTGCATAGGAAGGACAATGGACCATTAAGGGAAATGTGCGTACCTCTGTTACAAATTTCCTACACAGCTTTGTCTTTCTGTTCAGTCCAAGTTATATAATTTTTGGAATTCATATAATTCAGTATTTTTCAAACATGCTGACTGGGGAATTCTGGGTGTTGAAGTCCACATCTCTCAGAGTTGCCAAGTTTGAAAAACACTACAATTTGATACTGCCAAGTGTGGATGAAAACACTGCAGGCATCAAAAACTAGCCTCCTAGTTTCTGGACACTCCTGGTGGGTTATGACTGCATATAAATTGACAGGTTGAAGTAGAAGAGGGCACATTTTTTTTATACAGATTTTATTCTCCAGAATGTGAGTTCTTGACTACCTTTACGTAGTCCTATTGTTATATGGAGACGCTCTTATTTATTTATTTATTTAAATCATTTTATAGATATTTCAAAAAAGCATGCGTGAAACTGCTGGAGTCTGATGCATGTGTCAAATAATATTGTTGACATGATTTAGACATTAAGAAAACAACCGCCTTATATCTGTGAAGCAGAGAGTAACTCTTAAATGTCTACAAACTATAGAAACAACAACAATCTCTTTGTTGACATTTAGCAGTCTTTTGGATGTTTGTTCAAGCATTCAGTTGCTTGTGTCTATATAATCTAGATTGCATCTATATAATTTGCCACGCAAAAATCCAGATGGCAACAGGCACATACAGAAAATTCTGATAGCCTTTGCTCAGAAAGAAAGAATAAATAGACATCCTTCAGAAATATAGATTATTGGTGCAATTCTAACCTCTGTGTTCAATGTCTATGGAGATTCTCAGTCATCCAGATCACAGTTGTCTCAAAGATGCTTTTTTCATGTGGCAAATGGACTTTCTTGTTTTTCTTTGAAGACATTTCATTTCTCATCCAAGAAGCTTCTTCAGCTCAGCTGATTTTAACTTTCACATAAAGTATGAGAAATGCTATGTAAAATAAAAGATGAATCTCTGTTTATCATAATCTCTAATTAATATCAATGTTTAAGCAATGTTCCCTGATTAAACAATCTTACTACTATTCAAGCTGATAGCAATGTTTTCATTGATTTTTATGGAGCAAATGTCAGTTCTTAAGCTGTTAAAACTAGTATGAAGGAAAATTGTAGGAATATATTTCAATGTACTAATTCAGTCTTTACTAACATTGCAGAATAATTGCACTATTGTTTTCAATCTTTAATTTTTCCCTTTCTCTATATTTTTACAGGGTTTTTTAGAATTTTTGGAACACATCCCTTTATGATTTGTTTGTATTTTTGAGGTTCTAAAAATATATAACTACTGCTGGGTTGGGCAACCTTTGAGTGACTAAGGACTATAGTATAGCCTATGGGCCCCCTGGAGAGCTGCAGGCGATCAAGAGTCATAGGGGTGTGATTGCATTCTTTTCAAAACATTTTAGGGAGTTTGGGCTTGCAATTTAGTGCTGAAATGAAACTGCGAGGCCCCTGAAAGCCAGACTTTTCTAGAGAAATTATCTGATCATGTCTGTAATAAGTGTGAAATGTAATCAACTTTGGTACGGCATGCATATTCATATACAATCTTATTATTCACCCCTTCTGTATTTGGGGCATTTAAAAAAAATAAAAATCATAATTATAAACCAGTTCAACTTGAAAATTCTTGGCTAAAAGAGAAAAGACTTGACTCTCTTCCCAAAAACAGAAAGGGAAGAGTTGAACACAGTTATGGAGAGAGGGGATGACATACTTTGGGAGCAGGATCAATTTCATGGTTTTAGTTTTTTTTTTTTTTTTTGAAAAAAAGGATCATGTTTACTTGTTGATTACATGATTAACACCAGCGAGTATTTTTACTCTATACACATGTGCCAAGATGCAATAACTGTATCCATGATTGACATTCAGTGAGGTACAGGTACATCTGATCAGGATTCATTATACTCAAAAGTTCATTCAACTGTTCTTATTATGGTTCATACAGATCTGAAAAAGAAAACGTTTTCCTTTATTTCTCTCTTTGCTCCAGAGTCAAGCGACGTGGCTTTTACCATTACCATGTTGCTGGCCAGCCTGAGTAGCTGCTGTAATCCCTGGATTTACATGTTTTTCAGTGGGCATCTCTTTTATGGTGTCCTCCACTTTTTCTCCTGCTGCGGAAGTCTTCGGTCCAATCTCAGGAGGCAGCAGTCTAATGGCAGTCTCTGCAGCCATAAAACTACCATCTTGAGCCACAGTCCTCAGAGCACTGCAGAGCCGAATGCTGCTCGGATCCAGATGCAATTGGGAAATATTAAAGAATTCTACCAGCCTTATGAAGATACAGTGATTGATTCAGGGATACTTTAAAATAATGGATTGGTATAATGACAATGAATGATACTGTAATCCCATAATCTGGTATTTTGAAACAAGTAGGAATAGTAGAATAATATAGTGGCCCTGTAGGATATGAAACATAGCACACTGTATATAAAATAAATCAGGCCTGGTTCATTTCTGTTTAAAGACCGTTCTGAATTATAGTTTTGTCTCTGTTACAGGCAGTGCTATCTTGTTACTGATTGTACTAAACAGTTTATATGTTTTAAATTACATTTTATGGGCCACCTAATTTCAAATATACAACTCTAATTTCAAATATATGAATGAATATATGAAGGTAAGGTTTTCAGGTTTTTCCTTTCTCCAATTATTTTTAAAACCTTAGTTTTTTTCTTGCTCACAAGACCCTCCTATGCCTATACTAAAGTGATGTATTGATTAGTAGCAATTTAATTTACCTGGTTTCTCATCTAATTAAGAAGAAAATTGTTTTGCTTTAGACTGCTGAAAATTGTATGCTTCAGCTTCAGCTCCTATCATGTAAATTAATGGTATAAATAAATGTATGCAACTAAACTGGTTTAAAACTGATATCAGTATTCCTTGAGGTACAATATTATTGAAGTGATGATTGTTAACTCTTCTTAAGGTCAGAAATATCCTTGATCTCAGTTTGGAACAATAAGCACTAAGTATGAAATGACATGTTGGCAGCAAAAGTTATTGGCTACAAAAACACCTTGAATATGAAAGGTAATTATTAGGTCTAAAAAGACCGTTATCTTCCACTGAGCCACTGTCAAATTGCATGCACTCATTATGAATTAATGAACTCTCAAATATCATTGCTTTTACTCACAGGCTATTAACTAAGCCAATTATCAGCCATAGAGAGTTCTAATAGCATCTAATTTCTGACATTCATTTTAATGAGTTGAAAGCTCAGCCGATACTGGCAACTCACAGTTCAACTACATCTGATTCAACAATGTTTTCTTTAAGAAGCTGTACATCACTTTCTACCTCTGGAGTTCAGATCCTACAACTGCAGCTCTGAGGTTCTAGTAGAACTTTTCCCAGGCTGGTGTGCTCCAAGTGTGTCAGCCACAACAGCTGAGAATTCTGGGAACTCTAGTCACAATAGCTTCAAATTGGAAAAAAAGTAGATTGTATGCTTATAGAATAATTGGCCCACTATAGAGATTCTGACTAGTTTAATAAAAAATACTAAGCTATAATGTGGTTTTTTTAGTTTTGGTTTAATATGTCATGTGAACAGCCATTATGGCATATAAGCTATAGTTTATGATTTAGTGAGTTGTGTGAAGCCATGCTTACTCCTTCCTAGTTCTGCTGGGTGCTTTCCCCAAAGTGAGTGATGCTAATAGCAAATAAAAGATACTACTCCCCAACTGACTGCTCTTGGATATAAGTTTCTTTCACTGTGCCTGCCTGAACAGCCAAGTGAAATACAATTTTAGGGAGAAAATTCCATGGCTCATTTCTAACTTCTTTACCAGATAGAAGAACCTGGGATAGTGAGGAGGAGAAGGAGGAGGAGAGGCCATGTTGAAGAGAACAATAATCTAACAGCTTGAGGTGAAAGAGGGAATTAAAATGGTCTTTGTAGTTCCCTACCATATCTTACTTCAGTCACTATTTCCAATCCTTGCAACAGCTTCTAAATTGCAGAAATATCCCAAGGAAACGCCATTATAATGTAGCTCTCCCTCGCCCAACTATTGACGTTCCCTGATGATCGTAGTTTCTACTTAGTCTTATGCGTAAATCAACCAATTGTGACTTATTTAACAAACCACAATTAACCAAAACCAATTTAAAGTGTTCTCTTTCTTCACCTACTCAAACTAAAGAGAAGCAACAGTCAAGGTACAAGCACAGTGATATAAAAAACACTGTCCAATTGGGCTGTCCAATTATTAAATACTGAGTTTGACTTTATAGTTGACTTTTTAAACCTGTTCACTTATTGATGAATTTTTAAAAATGGCAGCAAAAATAGTTTCTAGTAAAAAAAAAAGAATTTATCAGGGAAGAATTAAATTGTTTTTGTGTATGACATGTTTAAATTATAAGGACATAATAAATTTCATTTCTGTGGAGACTAGAAAAAGAATAGATATGAGACAAATATCAAAGGACAGACATTTGATGCATACTTTGAACATGAAAATGAATAAGTAAATTTAAGATGAATTTTGAAATGTAAATGCTTGCATTTTCTAGATAAAGAAATATGATAAAATCAAGGCTTTGCCTGTTTTTAAATGAGTTTTTATATGCAACACAAAAAAGAGCGTCAATCACATTGTTGCAGCCATTATCTCAGTTATACCCTGCAGATTCCTCTTAATGTGGAATGTTTTTGCCATAGATGTGTCTGGTGACTGATAAGACAAAAACCTGTCTAAGTCTAACCTACACAGAGTACAGTAGATTGGGAAGGCTTTGGCTAATGTTACTTTTTTCAGGACATTGTCAACTTTTAGAATGATCTTTGCCAAGGCAGCATGCTAGGGCAGGGCAAAGCATGAGAAATTAGTATTTTGCAATGCTCAGGAATATGAACAATACATTTCTCTGAGTCATTCAAACAGGTGTGTCTTTTGAAAGGTTCCTGAGGCTCCTTGAAAAGCAAACTATATATGTATGTGTTTCTGTGCAGACACAACTACGAACAGCTTCAGAATTAGCTACAGGAGCTTTGCAAAGTTTGTACTACATCAAAATCATTTCTTTCTAGCACTTTGCACAGAACTGAATGTTAACATTCAATATTCTATTATATAAAATATAAACATTTGTCTTCCATATTTTCTCTAACTAAGGGTTCTCCTACTCTTGTTCCTGTTTAATTAAGCTGTTTCTCCCTTTTTTCTCCACATTTTCATTCTTGAAGCCATTCTCTCTAAAACCTTTCACAGTACAGGATTTCAAATGATTATGTTAGGTACTAACCAATAGAAGGGACTACACAGTTTTTTCTTATTGGGACTCTTCAGGGATAAGCATCTTCTATATTACAGCAGATGTTCTATGTTTTTTAAGCCTAAAAAATGCAATAAAGATGCAATCAGTCATGTAGTGCCTTCTACTGCTCAGTGACTAATATAACATCTAAAGCTACATATAAAATACCCAACCCCATCCTTAAGGGGAAGCAATCTTGAGACCTCTAACATGAGATCCAGACCAATTAAAACTAGACAACTGTCTCATATGAGAAAACAGTAAACAGGAAGGTATACTTCCATAGTTTCTATACTATAGAACTATTATGTCCAACTACTTACAGATCCTAACTGCAAGACAAGCTGCTCATGCACTTCAACTAATTAAGGTTGAAATTATTCATACATTATTATCAGTTTCCTCCTGAACTAATAAATGTAAATTAGAGTATAGACAGAAATTAATTTTCTTTTCTTAGGATGACATGTTCTCATAATGACTTAGATCTTCACAGTCCCAAGCACCCCTAGTGTTTAGTTTGGAATCCTTCTAAATTTAAATTTTTAGAGTGTAAAGAATTCAGAAATGAATTAAAACTCTGGTTTAATGGACTCCATTTTAGCAAGCATCAGAAGTGACAGATCACATTTCTATTGGAATCTCAAAATAACAGAGAAGTCCACAACTATCTTTGGATGAAGTCACACTCCAGCTAAAGAAAGCAATTGTAAGTATAGTCATTAAGAAAGATATGCTAGCAGATGAGAACTGCTATAGCAGGCATGTCAAACTCGTGACATCATGCAATATATTGGGCCGGTTTTTCCATTGCTGGCAATGGGGTGGGAGTGGCTTCCACTTGATGCGTCCGGCCCACAGGCCGGCAGTTTGACACCCCTGCTCTATAGCATCATTAAACCTATTTTGAGGATGATGTATTGGTTATCTATATGTTTCTGAGTACAATTTAAGATATTGGTATTCCAATAACGTCCTCCATGGCTTGGATCCAGGTTATCAATGGGACTGAAAATAATTCTGCCTATCTGGTTCAATTTGTTTGAACAGAGCCAGTTTGGTGTAGTAGTTAAAACATCAGGCTAGAAACTGGAAGATCAGTTCTACTTCTGCCTTAGGTATGAAGCCAGCTGGGTAACCTTGGGACCAGCCGTCTTTCACAGGGGTGTCAAACTGCTGGCCCACGGACCAGATGCATCATGGCGAAACTGCGCCCACCCCATTGCCAGCAACGGGAAAAAAGTCGTGATACATCGTGACACATCACGTGACCTGCTCTTTCATCAACCTCACTTCAGTCAGCATTTTAGCCTTGCTTTCACTGATACGTCAAGCAGATCCTACTGTTTGAGCAGGGGGCTGGACTAGAAGACCTCCAAAGTCCCTTCCAGCTTCTATTCTATTCTATTCTATTCTATTCTATTCTATTCTATTCTATTCTATTCTATTCTATAATTCTGGGCTATCTATGCACTCTTTTATGATGACTTGGTATTTTTTCATCTCCTCTATGTGACCTTTTTTCCAGCTCTTCACTAAACTTTTTGTACAATTTCCAAAATAGGCATCAGGATGGGGGGTGGGGAAACTTGAGGCAACAAATGATAAAAATGCAGTGCAATGTCACATTTGATGTTAGGAGATTCAGTATGACTTATGTACAAGCATCCGATGTTGGGATTTGCATTGTGAAACCCACTGTGTTTCATCACAGTTTGTCATCACAATTCATAATGGACATTTATGAACCCAGTGGCTTCTTTCTTATTTTTCTATACTTTATCACTGTTCCAGTTTAGTATCTCCTTATTTCTTGTTACTTCCATTCACCTTCAGCTCTTTTTCACATTAATTTCTTCTGCTATGAAATCCTACTATCATTGCTCTGAGTTTATTGAAGTCCATTTTCTTACATTCCAATATAATGTATTTGTATATAGTCAGTTCTAGTTTTCTTTACATTCAGCATGATATGGTAGCTTTTCTACAACACTCCAATTTATTCTTCATTTCTATCAGGTCAGGAATAGCTGAATCCGATTGGCTTCCTCAACTTGCTAAAGGAGGAAATGGTCAGCAAGACAGATTAGTTGTTTCCTGAAACTATATACTTAGCAGAATTTGTCTCCCAACCAAGGTCAGGTTAATGAAAGTCCTACATCCCTATTATATGCCACTTTGAAGGATCTATGGTTTATTTTCAGAAAGTGTAATCCATATCTTCTTGACAGGGCAGGCAATCATAATAATAATCAACAGCAGTATCATTTTTATCCATTCCTTCACTTATTTTAACTCATATGTTTTTCCAGGACTATTAAATTTACTTACTTTGATATCTTGGTGGATTTGCTACTTTAATCTGGCCACAATGATCTATGCTCTGGTAACCCTTCCATTAGATTACTGTAATATCTCATATGTGCACTGCCCTTGAGGATGACTCAGAAGCACCAACTAGAGCAGAATTCAGTTAATATGACTTTAACTGGACTTGCCAGTTTAAATCATTCTTACCTTTAAAAAAATGTTGTTTATTGCCGGAGCACAATTAAGCAGCCTGGTACTCTTTAGATAGATTAATATTGCTTCCAGAATTGTCAGCTAGCATGGCTGTTGGAAGTAACCAGATTGGAATTTTATTTTAAAGTTTCCAAACACCTTTCCCACTGAACAAGCCCCTTGCATTATGTAAAAAAATTGTGGCTACAAAATAGTGTTTCTTTAGCGCTGCAAGTTACTGCTCCTCCACTCCACCCAAAATTCAAGTAGGAGGAGCTGATACATATAGAAAGCAAATAGTTTTATCCATATATTCAGTAATATTTATGTCCTTCATTTATATGTCTCTGGGATGAGATAGAGGGCACCCACTATGAATTTGCATTGAATTCACTGCAAATTGCAATGCATTGAATGAAATCTAGAAATATTTAGATCTTCCCATTTGAAAGAAAAGCTGGTTCTACCCAGTGTGAGTATGCAATTATGCAACTGTTTGATTATTATGAGTGCTCTGACAAAAAAAAAGTTTAAACCCAACGTGATCTTTTAAAAAATAAGTTTCCAAAATCTATACAGTAGACTGGGTATAAAACAAATTAAAAATTGCAAACCACTTCTCCCCTCCTCATACACAAAACTCAAAAGCCTGCTTATTGAATAGTTTAATTTAGATTAATTTAAATTAAGAGACCATGTCTAACAGAATGAAGTATGCCACAATTTGCTGAAGTAGCTGATTACTACAAGTATGAAAAATAATAATTCACAGATATAATAGACAAAACTCTCTAACTAGGGCACAAAGGAAATTAAGCTAAGATAGCAAAAGAAGAAAATCCAAGTAAAGATCTTATTTACACAAGGCGGCCAAATTAAAAACCAGTTATCAGACTGTATTAGGTTGCTATGAAACAAGCAACCAAACTCCTAATAGTTCCTAGTAATACCTTTTCTTTTTTTCCAGGTGGCTTTCAAACAGAGAACCGAAAAAGAGTCTACTTTCCCTTAGTTCTTGTCTTGTATCCAAAGAAGGAAGTGTCCCATACATGAATGGGAAGTATGATAAAAGACACTTAGGGGAATAATGAAGTGAAAGATGCGTTTAGGAAAATCTAATGCAAAGAATGAAGATGAGAGAAAGATTGTATAATCTGTGGAGCAAGAAAAATATAGCTTCAAAGAATGTGGTCAAGAACAAGAAATGGTTAAGATTAAAATAAGTAGAGAAAATGCAGAGTAATTTGGAAGGAAGCAAAAATTACTTTGGAAGTTTGTAAAAAATAATCTAAACAAGGAACCTCCAATAGAGCAAATAAGACAAAAAATAAAGGTGTTAAGTTTATTTGGGATGAACTGAAGTAAAAGAAATTTGGAATTGAAATGGATGCTATAATTGGTAATTGATAAAGAACTAAATGATGCTGTGAAAATGTTTAAACATACTAAAGCTGCAAGTGCAGATGATTTAAGTGAAGACATATAAAATCTGAATGTCACCAATAGGCTATATGGCCACACTATATGGGTTGCCAGCATCTGGGAAGTGTAATATTTCAGGAACAGAAATGTTCAAGTTAATTATATTGGTGGTTAAGGCATCAGGCTAGAAACCAGAAGATTGTGAGTTCTATTTCTATCTTATGCACAAAGCCACTTGGGTGATTTTGGACCAGTCACTTGCTCTCAGCCCTAGAAAACAGGAAATGGCAAGTCACTTCTGAAAAAACTTTACCAAGAAAACTGCAGGGAATAGTCCAGGCAATCACCAGGAGTCAAAAACTGACTTGAAGGAATACATGTATACACACACACACAGGGTAAGTATTCATAGTATGAAAATATTATTATGTATGGAAACAACTTAATATTCACCACTCTTTTGTTAAGATCTGGGTCTTTTGAGCATGAACTGCATAATTTTCTTCTGTCAATATACTTTTGAATGAGCTTTACAACCAAAGGATTATATTCTGTCCCATAAAAACAAAAGAGCTCTAAAGTGAATCCTATAGAAAACACATTCTATGAAATGAAGAACATCTACATCTTTCTTTTGGTCACCTCCAATCAATTCCTCCAATCACTTTCTGCTTCACTGTTAAAGAACTGTTTAATCTCTGATCACTGGAAAGGTGAACATGTGCAGTGACTAATTTCTTTTCTAAAAGTGCCATATTGACATTAAGTGGTGTGGCTTTCACATTGTACATTTTCTCCTGGGATTTTATCTCTCAGTGGCTGGGCTGATTAGTGGCTATAAGGACAAAACTTTCGTCCAGTTCTTACAAGTTAAGGAGAGCAGACGTCCTCCGCTGCCAGAATGAAATGGTTGATCTTTTTAGCGTTTTACATTTGGATGACCAGTGGATTACAAAGGTAAGCTCATTTCTTTCTTCTTCTGCTCAACCGTCCCCCCCCCCTTTTTTTTTCTTATTGAGCATTAGAAATTACAGTTACAAAGCTGCACTGGGATAGCAGTCCCTTGACACTTCTTTAACTTCCTACAAGTACAGCACAGTTCCAGTATTAGCAGAAACACATCAGCAATGTTTTGTGAATAATCAGTAATGCATTTAGATAAATTTACAAGACATTTACAAGACATATTAATTGTAAGAAGGGGAGTGGTTCCAAAACAACTCTGGGTATTATTTTACTCTCTTCAAAATATTACAAATCCATCCTGATGTACTGTACATTCTGTTCCAAATTCCTGTCTCCCCCCCGAACACCACTATTCATAAATATATTAAGGGTGAAGAATCATCAAATTGCAAATCATCAAATGTTGCAAATGGGAATCTCATAATCAATAACAGTGAATGCCCGATGAAAAATAAATCACACGAGTTCTATTTGCTACTATCATGGATTGAATTTATTTCAGAATTAGGCAAAAGAGAGATATTTTTCAAGTATTGAATTTGATACATAATTACATTCATGTGCAGAATAGGCAAAGTTTTCAGGATATGAATAACACATAAAAACTCTAACCTTAGTGGAATTCTAGTACTGCCTGTACTAGAATAAAATGCTTTTTAGATTTTATTTCTGTTAATCAGCATTAAGCATATAGCTCCCTCCCTTCTCTCCAGAATAACCCTGAAAAGACACCCATCTTTGCGGCAAAAATTGAGGGAACGTGGGCAATTGGCTCAGTTTTGGAAGAAATATAAGGTAGACATGATAAACTACACTCAAGACTGCTCAGTCTTCCAAGAAGCCAACGAACCCCTCTTTAACTATCTTGATGTAAGTTAAAGCCAAAGCATGAATGAAATTATGGGTGGGGGGCAGAAATATGTTAGCTATAAAGAAGACAAATGTCACATTTTTTTTCAATGATAGAATTTAATTTTATTAAACTCTTATCCTGTGCTTACAACACGGTGTATAAAAATCCAGGAGTTATTTGACAGTATGCCACATATTCCTGGTTTGTTATATATATGAGGCCATTGAGAAATGCAATGGCATTGTTGAAAGGGCTTGGTTTAGTTTATATGTATGCATTATAAAAATTCATCATTTCTACATTTTACTAGTATGAAACATTATCATCTGGGGAAAAGATATAGCTGCCTTAAAGAGTTGTAAACATGGCCTATGTCTCTATACTTATGTGCTCTAACACATTGCTTGACATTGTAACTGTGCCAATGTCCAGAGCCAATGCCATGGATGTATACATCTGTCCTACAAGCGAAAAAGAAAAGATATTGCCCCATCTTTCCCACTTATTCATCAGATATTTCACTGGTATCAAAGTTTTCACTCGATGCTCAAGAGGACTATGAAATATTTGGCTACATTTGCAAACATACAAGTTGAATATAAGTGCAAACTGACAATTTAGCACTTCTACAAACAAGAAATGAACTGCCCTATTTCACTCTCCATCACCTCCCAATATTCTTTTTTCTTAGCTAACTCTGAAAGTGGATTGAAAGAAAATTGGTGTGTAATACAAATACACAGATCTGCCCTAAGAACTAAATGTGTCAAAAACCTTTCACAGCCTGCTTTAAAATCTGCTGGAGAGTTAAAACCAAGCTGAACATACTTAAACCTAGCTAAATTGGTCTCTGATGATGGGAAAGTTTGTGAATGAGTTGAATTGAATAGACATAATGTTGTTCCATGCAAGCCTTAGACAACTGGTATGAGCAGAGTGTTTATATCTACTCCAAAAATCTTTTTTTTTCATTGTATACCTATCTGAATTCTCCTTTTTTGCTGCATGCTTGTAGTGGAAAGGCAGAAGAAGGAGCCAGCTTTTTTCTTTCTAATAAATCACTCTTTTTTCTTCTTCTAGATTTTTAGATTTATATAATAGTCTTGGTCCTTGAAAAAAGGTATATCCAGGAGCCTACCAGGAAAATAGTAGATACTTTAAGTGCGAAAATAAACACAGATTTTTATCAAGAAAATGTTGCAATTTAAATGCTAGAGATTAAAATTAAAAATGCAGGTGTACAATTGGATTATGAGTAAGCTCCCCCCAAAATACCACTAAAATTAAAATCCCATTTAAACTCTTGATCCATTTATGCAAACAAGACCTTGGCATAAAAGAAATATTGATTGGAAATAATAATAATAATAATAATAATAATAATAATAGTAGTAGTAGTAGTAGTAGTAGTAGTAGTAGTAGTAGTAGTAATAGAGTTGGAAGGGATCTTGGAGGTTTCCTGCTCAGTCAGGAAACCCTATACCATTTCAGACAAATGGTTGTCCAGTCTCTTTTTAAAAACTTCCAGTGTTGGAGCATTTGACAAGATTCCCCTCAGGTTTGGAAAAGGGTTCCACTTTATGTAGCCCTAATAAGTGCTTCTCCATTCCAGTATACAAAATAAAAATGCTTCTTTGTTTTCCTGTTCTGGCAGGTGGAATACTTTGGACAGATATCCATTGGAAACCCTCCACAGAGTTTTAATATACTGTTTGACACTGGTTCCTCCAATCTCTGGGTACCATCTGTTTATTGTGTCAGCAAGGCTTGTGGTGAGGATTGGGCATGGGGAAAGGAAGGCATGATTTAAAAAATATTACCTTGATGCTTGCTCTATTTAAAGGCATATATAGTACATTAATAAAATCTATAGAGAAGCCTGTTGGGTTTTGTAGATGCCAAACATTGATTTGCACATGACAGAAACCTTAAGAAAATTACTTTAAATTATGCTGTATGAAAACTGTTAACATTGTTAACAGGTACTTATAGAGCTAGCACTATTCAAACTAGTAAATGTTATTCATACTTCCAATAAATCCAAATGTACAGTAATTTGCTGTCATTTGACTTTCCTTGGTAAACACATAACAATAATTGTATAGCACATTTGCTACATGCAATACTGGAAATCCAGTTATTGAGTAGAAGTGTAATATATAGCCTTTCTGTTGGACTTGTAGTACGCTGTAGTATTCCTAACATTTTGTCCACCTGCAGTCTGCAAAACAGAAACCAAATCTTGCTGTTTGGGAGCATATTTACAGTGATAAATCTAAAATAAGATTGCATTCAAGGAAAAAAAAGTTTTTGTCAAGCACCAGGGAACAGAAGATCCAGTCAGTTCAAATGAGTATAAAGATTTATTGCAAGCTTAAGCTCTCTACAAGAATCTGATGGTGATAGATAAGAATCACAGGAATTCAGGATAGGCTGGACTTAGATCTCTTGTGGGTGTGAAGGGATTCGTGACTGATGATGCATTTGACCCTTCCCTGGGGCTCAGCCTGGTCATCTCCTACAGTTACGTTATGAAGAAAGAAGTAAAGCAATTGGGTGAATGAAGGCTTGTAATAATAATTTAGTAGCACAATACTAAGTATGTTTTTTCAGAAGTATGTTTTTGCTATAAAAGATAAAACAACATGAATGGCAATTCAAGGTTGTTGTCATTTGCACATTTTTCCATAAGTATTCTCTAGCAACAATTTATTTTTGAGAAAATATATATGTAAAATATGGAGTGCTTGTATAACTTAGATTAGCATAGTTGCAATCATAAATATATTTTCATTACTGAATCATTGACAACTCTCATGTGCAAAATGACTGTCTTGTACTGAAGCTACAAGCAGCACATTCATATTGTCTTATTTTAAAATAAAGTCCATTCAATAGAGTCCATTCACTGTATAACAGCTGTGTGGATTCACAAGGCTGTAATCTTGTTTATATTGTACTTGAATAAATATGCACAGGGCTGGACTGCAAAAGTCCATAGGCCAATAAGGACAGAGATACAAGCATTGAGATTTCTTTTTATTTTTTTTTCAATTACAGTTGAACACTCCAGATTTCAGCCATCAAAGTCCAGCACCTACACTGAAGTGGGTACACCTTTTTCCATTCACTATGGCACTGGTAGCTTGACAGGAATAATTGGAATGGATCAAGTGACTGTAAGTGAAAAATCCTATTCACTTAAAAAGAATTTAATGCTTGATCATTTAGCCAGTTATTCTCTGATACAGTAAGGCATTATCCTGCCTGTAGAGGCTGCAGTATCTGTATTTATCATTGAGTTCCAAACCACTGTTCATTATAGCTTCAAATGTCTTTTCAGGGAAAATGACCAACACATTACAAAAATGGTCCATAAGGTATTTTTGGTGGCATGTCATCAAGGAGCCAGGTTACAAATTATTACAGTATTAATAGGCTTTGCTTTCATTTACTACATGTATTCATATGATTCATTAGAAGAACTCTAATGAAATATATCTTCTATAGTATTTGAGCAATTGGACTTCCCCTTTTCCTCCTGTGGTCTTCTATGCCCTACAGATGACCACAATGGGCATTCCACCAATGACTTGGTGCAGATTTTTAAGATATGCATGGAACTGCAGGGGAAACCTGTCCCTATCCCATCATGGAAGGTGCTATCTGAACAGTATTCTCTAGTCCTTGTGTGTTCTTCCTTGCTTCTAGAACAATCTTTCTCAACATGAGTATGATTTTCGCCAGTTTTAGGATGGATGAAGAACACTTCAGCTCAATGGTGGGGAAAGGCCTTATATCTTGAATATATAATTCAACCTGACTTTGAATGAGAATATCTTGCATTAGACTTGGTGCAATTTATTTAAAGTAGCATTAGCTATCCAAAGTCTCCACAATGAAACACCAATTCCAGTCTTTTTTTGATGGAGGGGGGGGGAGAGGAGAGAAGGAAGGGAAGGAAGGAAGGGAAGGGAAGGAAGGCAGGTTTTCTCTTTTAAAATAATTCCATGGCCCATTACTATGACTAGTTTCTTGCCACAGATTAAAATTCATATCTAGGATTTCTGTTTTTCAGGTTGAAGGACTCACCATAGTAAATCAACAGTTTGCAGAAAGTGTCTCTGAACCTGGTAACACCTTTCTGGATGCAGAATTTGATGGGATACTTGGTCTGGCCTATCCATCCTTGGCTGTGGATGGTGTCACCCCTGTATTTGATAATATGATGGCCCAAAACCTGGTGGACTTACCAATATTCTCAGTTTCCATGAACAGGTAGTGTATAAAAAGTTGACTCTTCCTCCAATACTGTAGAAAGTTTTCCTTCCAGATTACTTGAAATCAATAAAAGCCAATACCAAGACTTCCAGTTCCAGATCGCAGTGTGGAGAGCTCCGTCTCTTCGCCAGCTTTCTCTCCGCTGGTAGACCCTTAATCGGGTCAAAAAGTCACCCTGGAGGGGCGACCACCGTCAAGGAGGCCCTGTTTGACTGCGGAAGGGTGGCAGTTCCTTCTGCAGTCCGAACTAGCTCCTTAGGGCCGTCGGAGAAAAGATTAGCCAGTAAAATGGCCGATCCCCCAGCTGCACCAGCCGAAAGTCAGAAGAACAGCTAAGCGTGAAGAACCACCGTGGAGAAATCCGGGTGAGACCTTTCCTTCGCTCTCTTACCCCCAACTATTTTTCTGTAAAAAGCCTCTGAATGACTTTCCTGCCCTAAGAGAGCGGCGTTTGTTTACTTGGGAAAAAAAGCTTTGAACAAAAATATAAAACAGTAAATTTTTATTGGATATTTAATTTTTGGGATATTTTGGGGCCCTGAAAAAATCCTTATCATAGAACATTATTATTATTTTATTTATATGCTAGAGATATTTGCTTTCCCCCCCTCTATTTTCCTAATGAGATAAAAAAAAATTAACTCAGAAAAAAGATTTTACAGCCTACTGAGGACATCTTGTGGTGAAAAGTGTTATTGCAATTGTACTTTCTCTTGGTGTTTGAAGATGGATTTGACCTTCAAATGATAATAAAAGGGAAAAGATAAAGGCCTTGAAGCAGCTTACTAAAAATTGTGGAGGTGGATATTTGTTGACTTCTAATAAATATAGCTTCTACTAAAAGACTAAAAGACTATTTTATCATGGAAATGGAGGAATCTTACCCATAGCTTGATTATGAGCTTATATTGGGAAAAATCCTGGAAGCTACAGAGTACATGAAATCTTGGAGAAAAATTAAAGATCATTTTGCAGAACCACAAACTGAATTTCAAATTTTAATGGAGCAACCTATAGGCCAAGGAATAATAAAGGAAGAACAGACTAGCTTTAAAGAGGCCTATAGACAACAGTGCACACAATTTAAAAAGATGGAGGAAGAAGCTACTGATCAATTGAGCTGTAGAAAAATGCTTGACTTAAAATCTCAAACAGAGACTCTAATTGATCATTCAACAAGTCAACTAATCACTACAGAAGAGGATATTTCACAAACCTACGTACAAATTATGGAGAACTCTGATGATCAAAGAATGACTTCAACTGAAATACTTGCAGTCTTAAAAGCAATAAGAACTGATTTTCAGATGCTGCAATAATCTGGATAATCAGCTAGTAACTACCACATGGAACAAAATTGACTATACTATCCAGATGATACTGGAAGAAAGGGAAGAGATTGATGTGTTGATAAATACTCGTACTCAAATACTGAGATTTGATGATACAGATGTGGTATTATGGAAACCGGCCTGGCACAGAAAGAAAGCTAGAGTTAGATTTAAAAAATGTGATTTAAAATTTTACTTAATGGACTGATTTAACAATTAATTGAGTATGTGAAGTTAGCAAGATGATATTTTGTATAACAATATGCTTGTTTTAGATATGATAATTATTTGGACAAGATTTAAATCTTACCTAATGGGCTGAAATGATTTTTTTTATAGAAATAGATTGACTGATAGATTATATACTTAAAATAGAGTAGAGTAATATTTTTATTTTAAGTAGGATAACTATTTTGTAGTGGAAGAAGAAATAAGAGAGATTTGTGATAAGAGAAGAATTGGTACTAATCAATGACTTATTAGACTAAGAATTAGAATATATCTGGAAATATTAGAATGTTACTGTTGGAATATTATGTATATTGTAGAAGGGATACCCGAAGTGCTAATAATATGTTTATTCAAGATTAAATTGAATTATGGTAATGTAAATTAGTAAAGCTTAAAAGCAGGATTTGGATTTACATAGATGTAATGTAGAAATGGATTAACCTAAATATGTTATACTATTTGAGGGAAATAGAGAGGGAACATTTAATGAATTAATTTGAGATAGCTATACCAGTTCTCTCTTTATTCTTTGTTAGCAACCTAAATATATATATATATATATATATATATATATATATATATATATATATATATATATATATATATATATATATATATGACTTTATCTTTGGATGATTGATTACCCCATCACCACAGTGTTTCTTGAGCACTCTGATGTAAAAATTAAAAAACTAATAAAACTTGTTTATAAAAATAAATAAATAAATAAAAGCCAATACCAAAGGAAACCATATGGTTGGCTATTTTTTAAAAAACCCAATTCTTTAGCAGGAAAAGGGAAGCTTTTCTCTTTCCCTATAAATTGGTGAATGTCTTATTTTTGGAACTGGGACCAGATTCCAAAGCGAGCCATTATTTTTGTTTAATATTGGAAAGAATCCTTATGTTCATGTACTTTCCTTTCTCAGGCTCAGTCAATATTCCATTCATCATTGTGCCCAATGTCCAGGCATGATCCAGAGACAGCCCAGAGGACTGATGTGAGAAACCTGGAAAATGTGGAGTATTAGAAAATGTGGGGGCATCAATTATGGTTTAGAATTTTGAAAAGAATGAGTATGTAATAGAAAAAAAACACAAAGAAAAGGCTCACATCAATGTAATTATTTCTTCTTTCTCTCCTCAGAAACCCTTATTCTTCTATAGGAGGGGAACTGATTTTTGGTGGCTATGATGAGACCTATTTCAGTGGAAACCTTAGCTGGATTCCAGTCACTAAGCAGGGATACTGGCAGATCCAACTGGATAAGTACATATCTTGTTTGGAAGTAAGGGGGGAATTCTCTGAGATAATAGCTACTTTTCTATCTCTGATGAATGCTAGAATTCAGGGTAATTGCGCATTTAGACTTGTCAATCTTGCATAGAAGCACCACATCTGTTTCATAAATCCCAACCTTTCACTGTTACAATGAGCTGTAATCATCTTTTAACTATTTAGCTGGATATGATATATATTTATCCTTTGAGTTAGAGAGCTATTTTTCACTACTTTAAAAGCCAGGAAGGTGGTTTAGGTGATTATGTATATTAATTATATCATTGTCTGTAACAGATGTTTTTACAACAGTATTTGCCAAGTCTCCAAATGTTGTAAATAATTCCTTGTGGATAAAAGAAATTCCATCTATTACTTGTCTATTCCCCCTCCATCCCTCCCCTCATATCTTCTTATATTGAAAAGCAAAATAGCAGTGCTTTGAATATTCTGTAAGTTTCTACAGTCATGTATGACGTTTCAGAAAATCTTCAAATTCAATTGCTGTCATTGAGAAAGAATTCCTGCTTCATACCAAAAAGTTACAGAATCTAAAGCACCAAAACTTTCCCTATCTACTGAGCTTTGCTTCCTTGATACCAAAAGTCCTAGGAAAGTTTGAAATCAGCAACCATAAATCCTAAACTTTCAATATCTTTATAGAAGGCCTCAGCTAACATCAAACGTGCAAGATAACTCTTGTTATTGATTGACTGCAGTTCTTGCCTAAGAAGCTGCAGAATGAAGAAAAATTTGCTTTTAAACTAGACCCACAACAGTAGGTAAACCTCCAGACAATTAGATAGAAATTTAGTACTAGAATTACTATATTAAATATAGCATTTTTTGCATCTTGTTGCAATTTTTGCAAACCAGATAAAGTTACTCTAGACTAGTGATTCTCAACCTTTTTAATGCCGCGACCCCCAACCGGTCGTAAGTCAAGGACTACTCAACCGGTCGTAAGTCGAGGACTACCCAGCCGGTCGTAAGTCGAGGACTTTCCCTGCCCGGGGGCGCCACGCATGCGTGGTGCCGCCTCCTGCGCCGGCTGCGACCACCGTCTGGGCCACCAGCTGGCCCAGCCCAAGGAAGGTAAGGCACCCGCCGGGCCCCACGTAAGCCAGCAATCCTCCCTGCGCCCACCGGCCTCCCACCTCCCACCCCTGGCCCTCTTTTACTTACATTTTTAGTAGTTGCTCAGCAGGGAGGGGTGGAAACTTCCAGACAGCTCGCCTTTGCTGCAGACAACTTGCAGCACCATTTGCAGAATGGGACTTTTGGTGGGCTCAGCAGGGCAGAGACAGCCTGGACAATTCCTATTGGCTTTTGAAAGCCAATATAATTAGACTCTATTCAAGAAAATCTATTCTATTAGCTTTCAAAAGCCAATAGAATAAAAGGGAGTAGCACAGCTAAGGAAAAGAGGGAAAAAATGGCAGACTGTGTTGTTTGGCAACCCCCGTGAAATGGTCGTTCGACCCCAAATGGGGTTGCGACCCACAGGTTGAGAACCGCTGCTCTAGACCGGGGTAGGCAACCTTGGCTCTTTTATGACTCATGGACTTCAACTCCCAGAATTCCTGATCCAGCCGGCTCAGGAATTCTGGAAGTTAAAGTCCACGAGTCATAAAAGAGCCAAGGTTGCCTACCCCTGCTCTAGACTATCCATAAGTCAAGAAGAAATACGGAGATTCCTGAAGGGGCATTATAGTCACAGATAGAAGCAAACAAAACAACTTTGTGGGATGCCAAAATTCCAAGTGTGTCTTTCTTAACTAAGCAGTTCCATTTTAGGAGACAATGATATTCTTCTCCCATGGTACAACCAGAAATGTTGTTCACTTATCATTTAAAATCTACTAATCTCCATCACTGCACATCTCCGGCACAGATCTTTGCAAAGAGGAATCATTAATGAAGTGGCAGACATTAAAACAAATGTAAGAAAACAGTGTCAGGATCAAGTCAACCTATAATCATGCTGTAAGAAGAGTTACCACTGTAAATATCTTGGAGAGGCATTACCACCAAAACCTGCCCCTCCCAAGTTTATTTCCATGTTCTTTTCAGTATCCAGGTTGGTGGAAAAGTTGCATTTTGTGCAAATGGATGTCAGGCTATAGTGGACACAGGAACATCTCTCATCACAGGCCCTTCTGAAGACATAAAGCAAATGCAAACATTAATTGGGGCACAGTTTATAGATGGTGAGGTAAGTCCCAACACGGAAATCTGTTAACAGCATCCTAATCCTGGTTCTAATCTAGAATAACTTTAAGTCTAAAATTATCTCTTTACAATCCTATTTCATTCTTTCATTTCCTCTTTTTGTTTCTTTCAATTTTATTACATTCTAGTTCTTTGAACTTTAAAGAAAATTTATGCTACCACTTGGCAAAAGGTGAAGCAAATGCATTAAAGGAAGGCTTATGAGAAGCAGTTAATTTAGGCCAATTCATCTCCTGATTTAGCTTCTGAAGCAACTGTCTTTTTGTCCCAAAGTCGTATAATTTTTGAGAATTGGCAGCCCATTAGGTGCCCCATAGGTATTCTGAGAGAGAGAGAGACCCACTAAGGCAGTGGTGGCGAACCTATGGCACGGGTGCCACAGGCAGCACTCAGAGCCCTCTCTGTGGGCACGCGTGCCATCAGCTGGGTTTTATAAAACCTTTTCACTTTAGGCCTCCGCCGCCGAGTACAAAAAAAAAGTTCAATCAATCAGTCAATTGCAACTTCTCGCGGAAAAAAAAAAGATCTTGCAAAGTTGGAATTGACTGATTGAACTTTTTAGTCCCACCCAGTCTGCTATTACCACCGCAGCCATGCCCACCCAATGGGCCACCCGGCACCCGACGATGCATAAGTGGGTTTTGAGTTGCAGTTTGGGCACTCGGTCTCTAAAAGGTTCGCCATCACTGCACTAAGGCAATTGGTGGATGCTACCCAGGAACAGCCAACACTCCAGAAGACAGGCTTAAGATACAGAAGGATCTTGACAGACTTGAACATTGGGCACTATCTAACAAAATGAAATTCAATGGTGAAAAAAGTAAGGTTCTACATTTAGGCAAGAAAAACCAAATGCACAAGTATAGTTTAAGGGGTACCTTGCTCAATAGTAGTAATTGTGAGAAGGATCTCGGAGTCCTAGTGGACAATCACTTAAATATGAGCTAGCAGTGTGCTGCAGCTGCCAAAAAAGCCAACACAGTGCTAGGCTGCATTAACAGAGGGATAGAATCAAGATCATGTGAAGTGTTAATATCACTTCATGATGCCTTGGTAAGGCCACACTTGGAATACTGCATCCAGTTTTGGTCACCACAGTATAAAAAAGATTTTGAGACTCTAGAAGGAGTGCAGAGAAGAGCAACAAAGATGATTAGGGGACTGGAGGTTAAAGCATATAAGGAATGGCTGCTGGAATTGGGTATGACTAGTTTAATAAAGAGAAGGATGAGGGGGGATATGATAGCAATGTTCCAATATCTCAGGGACTGCCACAAAGAAGAGGGAGTCAAGCTATTGCCCAAAGCACCTGAAGGCAGGACAAGAAGCAATGGATGGAAACTAATCAAGGAGAGAAGCAACCTAGAACTAAGGAGAAACTTCCTGACAGTTAGAACAATTAACCAATGGAACAACCTGCCTCCAGAAGCTGTCAATGTTCCAACACTGGAAGACTTTAAGAAGAGATTGGATAGCCATTTATCTGGAATGGTATAGGGTTTCCTGCCTGAGCAGGGGGTTGGACTAGATAACCTTCAAGGTCCCTTCCTCCTCCTCCTCTTTCTTATATTATTATTATTATTATTATTATTATTATTATTATTATTATTATTACCCAGAAATGATGCTACTATGGGGCAAAAAAGTGTGAAAGGCAGGCAGTGTATGGAGCAAAGAGGTAGGGGAATTAGTCCTGTATCCTTCTCTCATCTCAAGCAATCAGTCTTTTTAACCACTATGAGATTGTGTGTTAGCATATTAGACACACAAGCAACCTTCAATTTCCTTAAATAAAAAGCAGCATTTGGATGGAGATAGATTTAACAAAGCAGAAGTTAAGGAATACCTCATCCTTATCATATCTTATCTATTTTTGGACTGAAGCCTGGCTCAATGTTTTAGAATACTTGAAGACATCAGTGAAAAATAGATATTGTCCAGCTTATTATCTAGATTGTTTTTTAACTGAAATATTGGATTTTCACTATTGCAAACATATACCAATTGTTTACAGTATACTGTGGAATGCAGCAATCTCAACGTGATGCCTCTTGTCACTTTCACAATCAATGGAAACTCTTATCCTCTTACTCCGGAGGCTTATACTCTCATAGTAAGTGCTATTACTCATTTCCTTCTGTGCAGCATGGCAAAACATATGTCATTCTTAGGAAGCATGGGGTATTATCTGTAACTTTGCTTTGGATAATGAGACCCGGGGAAAGAACACTGATGTATTAGTAAGAGTTTTTCCATTCAGATGCTCAATTGTTCTTTTTTTTTGTCGAGATTCATAAAAGACAAGCTAAAAAGGGCCAAAGCAGACTTCTTAATGATGTATTATATACCGTATATGCCGGCGTATAAGGTGACTTCCGCAAGCGCTAAAATCGGCACCAAAGACAGGGGTCGTCTTATACGCCGAGTCGTCTTATACGCCAGAAATACTGGTAGTTTCCGGCGTATAAGATGACATTCTAGGAATGCGGCTCGGCGACAAAGATGGAGGTCGTCTTATATGCCGGGTTGCCTTGTACACCGGCATATACGGTAGTAAAATTGCTTAATGAGAATTAGCCAGGTATTAATGCCTTTTAATCATCATTATAATATACAGAAAATAATAATAACAATAAAAATGAACCAGTTTGGACTAGTGGTTTAAGGTACCAGGCTAGAAACTGGGAGACAATAGGTTCTAGTCTTGCCTTAGGAATAAAAACTGGCTGCATTACTTTGGACCACTCATTCTCTCTCTTAGTCCAATTCACTTATAGGGTTATTGTTGTGGAGAAAATAGGCTATATTTGCCCCCTTGAGTTGTTTATAAAAGTCATAAAAGTGGGATATAAATAAAAATAGTAAAACTAAAGAATGAGGAAATGGCAGATTTTTTTCATTCTCTTCACTTACTGGGAAGGAAGGAAGGAAGGAAGGAAGGAAGGAAGGAAGGAAGGAAGGAAGGAAGGAAGGAAGGAAGGAAGGAAGGAAGGCATATGTGTTTGACAAGCTCTGTTGCTGTTGAAAAAAATACTGTGGGGAAAAGAATATTTACCACAATGACGGTCTGTTTGTCCATAAAGGGAGGGGGGGGACTAGCATTTATACTAGATCAAAATCTTTATTAATTTTGTGTCTAACTTAAAAGTTAAAATGTAATGAAAAGTAGGGGGAAGCTTACTTGATCTTTATAAGTCAATTTATGGAGCAAGGAACATTTAAGGAGTTACCCACCTCCCTACAAGCCTCATTAGAATAAACGACAATGATATAAAAAGATGCACAGTCTTTGAATTCTGCAATTATCTCAATAAATTGAGGCTAATCCGAAAGATTAGGTCAGGTGATTCAACTTTGAAGTCTAACATTTTCATTTAAACAATTATTTCTAAATCTTCATTTATACATATACATTTAGCATTCACAAATTTGGGGCCTTTTTTCTCTTCTTTTTTGCAATCTATTTTCTCTTTGGGAGAGGAGATGATGCCTTCCACCACAATAAAGCATGCTACATCCTCTTGCATGAATCTTAGTCATTATTAGAAGACATATATACAAAGATAATAAAATAATTAAATATACCAGAACTAACGCCAAAACTGAACATTTTAATAACAGAATAATCAGAGAAGCCATCGAGATAGAAAAACGCCCACACAGCATGAACAAACAAGATGATACCTCCCGCCTACCAGCCATTTGGAAACCCGCCCTTATTGACAAACCCACCCTTATTGATAAATGACTACCTAACACAAAAAAATGACACCAGACCCACACTCACAAAAACCACACAGGATGTCACCACCACACATCCACGCAAAAAGCAAACCCAAAGCCACACCGATGATGAGGCACAACCACAAACCAGAAGCCAGACCACAGCTGCATCGTTAGCCACTTTAAACCCCTCCAATCCATACATGAAGCAAACTGACACCCTCCATGAAGATGAGGCACGACCACGAACACGAAGCCAAAAAATAGCAAGGCAGCCCACCATTTTAAACCCCCCTGCAACTCAGACTAACCTGAGCACAACAAAGCCCCCACCCAAACAGAACACTCCACCAGCCAATCAGAGCACAGCCAACCCCCCAATCAGAACACACCTCCACCCAATCAGAACACAGTCAAGCTCCCACCCAATCAGTTCATACCCCCACTGGCAGTTAAAAGGAAGAAACAGCTAAGACTACACATTGCTCCTTGAAGCACGAAGCTGAAAACACCAGCCTGAAGATGACGAATGGGATTTCGCCGAAACGTCACCAAGACACTTCCAATTTTACGCGGGAGAAAACCCAAATAACCAAAGACCTACAAAGATAATAAAGAATATATACATACACAAATACAATATAACACTGACTTGGAGACATCTATATAAATCTTACATCAGGAGCCTTCAAACTTGGCCCTTTTATGACTTGTGGACTTCAATTCCCAGTATTCCTCAGCCAGGCACGCTGGCTGAGGAATTCTGGGAGTTGAAGTCCACAAGTCATAAAAGGGCCAAGTTTGAAGACCCCTGTCTTACATGTACCTTTCAGGTTTTACTTCTTTTTTAGAGTAGGGAATTATTTTAAATTATAATGCCATTTTTGTTTTACTAAATATATTTTAGTGAAGGTAATGTCATAAACTAAGGCTCAGTGTCCAGTCATTGCCTTCTTCCTTCTATCTCAGTCCTTAGTTGGGCCTTGGAAGTTCTACAACAATCTTTCCCAACAAGGGCATCCTTCAGATATAAGGACGTTAACTTCTAGCATTTAAAGTTTCTGTGGTTAAAACTGCTTTTGTTTGTGGGTAAATGCTGGGAAAGAAATCTGAACATGATTGTCATAATTCAATATTAATTGCTTTCATACCTACATATCCTCTTTTCCATAGGCCATAAGTGATGGGATGAGCATGTGCACCAGTGGCTTCCAAGGTTTAGATATAGACACTACACCTGGTCCACTCTGGATTCTGGGAGATGTTTTTATTGGTCAATACTACTCTGTCTTTGATCGTGGGAACAACCAAGTGGGATTGGCTCCAGCTGCCCCTTAAGAAGCTTAGAGAGTAAAGGAATCTAAGCCTATTCCCTTTCTTATCTTCTTTTGAGCAGCAAAATCAAGTTTCCTGTCTCTCTTTTTTTTTTTTTTTTGTTTCCCATGTGAAATGCAATCAAGATTGTGAGTTTTATCTATAAACACAAATTCCTTGAGATCCCCTGGAAAAGAGCTGTTTAAGTGTGTCAGTTCTCAGTATCAAGAGCTATGTTGTTTTTGTCTTTTCTCCTCAAGTAAATTAGATGAAATAAATCCTGAGTACTTCAAACTCAAAATACTAGGTCACAGGTCACAGGTCACAGGTTGGGGCTATGTTTAAACAATTGGTTCAGAATGATTTATTGAATAAAGTGCACTGAGCTGGGTTGATCCATCATGTTAACCTATATATTGAAAATTACAAACTACACTGGTTGGTTTACATAACATGCTTATCCACATTAATCAAAATGCATTATAACTGAATATCTTTTGTGAATCTAGTCTGATATGTGAGGTTTTCTCTTTGCAAAAGAAAACAGGACTGCATGTTGCAAATATATACAAAATTAATATCTTAAGTAAATTGATGAATAAATGATAATCTTTTTAAATCAGCAGAAAGCTTTAATAATTTTTTTTTTGTATTCCTAAAGTAATACATTATGTGATAAATAATACTTCTGTGTAATTTTCTGAAATGGAAGAATGATGAAGGACTGAATAATGCATCGACATTCTAAATACATCAAATTTCTCATAAAACAGATGTGGGCACATTAATATCCCAATGCGAGATGTTTCTCTCAATCTTTTTGGAAGATATCAGAGCTTCCCAGGGCCACAACTGGGAAAACTGAGTGACATTTCCTGCCATCAAGCAAAAAAATATCCTGTTCTTATGTACCCCTAACTCTTTATACAAATTCACACTGCAACTATCTATTACAGCTCTTCTCCTAGAGAATGTTAAGTGCAGCTCCAAAAATGTATCTCAGTCTATCTATCCTAAAGGGGAACATTGTCCCCCCTTCCCTCTGTGTGTATATATGTGCAGTGGAATTTGCCTTTAAGGAGGCAGTAAGAATTAATACAGTATGTTATCTATGGACCTTTTGGTACACATTCAGATTCTGTACTGATCTTGATAAGCTTATTAAACCACATGCTGGCTGGGAATTCTCAGATATAATTGCAACACTAGAGAGAAAGATAAGATTGGGGAAGACTGTCCTCATCCATCCCAGAGGGAGAGAGGGAGGGAGGGAGGGAGGGAGGAGAAAGAAATGGTTCAAATAATGTAGTTTTCACACCAACCCCCAGCATTTACTTCCTGAGATAGCCACCATTTTCTGATATGATGATCCTTTACAGAATCTTTTTAGATGGGCAAAAGTGAATAAAGACATCACAGGTGATTATAAATAGCATTTGTTCAAACTTCTAAACAATTCTTTCTCTACAAAGGAGTCACTTTCAAAGGCAGGCATTCTATCTCAGCAAAACACATCCAGAAGTGATTAAAAAACAAGAATTGTAGATTTACCAACTTTTTTTTTCTCATACTGGTCTTCATTGTAAAAAAGATACTGCTGGTACCTTTCCTTGAACTTAAAGGAGGGCTCCAATTTGTTATATGTAGCAGTTCCTTTAATTCAGAGGTTTAATATAATTCTAATAAATTGAGCTTGGGGCTGTATTGAAAAGAAAACAAAGCAACATAGATCTGTAGAGTCAAAAATAGAAGTGCTTTAATGATCAATCTGATGATATACAGTAGGTGATAGTATGCTAGTAGGATTTAAAAAAATGTATGCTACAGTCTTACAATGCACATATGAATATTATTTGGATAACCTAGGATTTGTCTACAGATCTCATGATACCTGGATTGGTGGACTGGCTGGAAATATTGTCTGTCTTGTCTATCCCCAATTTGATCAGCTTCCATGTAATGGTCACTCTAACTAAAGAATCATTCTAGGACTGGTGGCTTGGAAAGATACCAGTCTTTTTTCTCCATGTAGTATAAGCTCATAAACAAAAGTGCCAGCCAAGAAGAACCACGGCTTATTTTACTCTACTATCTTTCCATTTTCCTTGAGTTTCTATGTATTTTGTATGCTGATTTGATACACAATGCTTTTTGTTGCCTATTTTAGCTTTGTCAGTTATGAAACCATATATTTTAATTTTACTTTTGTTACTGTAAATACTGAGCAATGCAGTATTGGAAGAAGACAATTTAAAGGTGAGGAAAAGTACAGAATTAAATTTTGTAATAAGTTTGCCTATAATGGTACGCTGCTTTTAGAAGTGGATCACTCGCATGAGCAATGAAATATTTAGGAGAGGTAGATGCAGAGTCCTTTACTACATCTCAGAGGATTTTTTAGTGTACTTTTCCAATGTGCTGTGTCAACATTTGAAAAGGTAAAATGTTTTGGTTCATCAAGTTTTTATTAAGAGTTGGAGCTGCATTCCACTATGTTGAGCTGTTTCATACATGCCTTTAAGAAGGGGTCTTCAAACTCGGCCCTTTTATGACTCATACACTTCAACTCCCAGAAGTCCTCAGCCAGTGTGCCTGGCTGAGGAATTCTGGGAGTTGAAGTCCATGGTTGTCCACGGTATGTATTTCATTACATACCATGTAGTATAAAGAATCATCAGTGCCTTTTATCTTAAACAATCTTTTCTCAAGTTTGTGTCTTCAAAGAGTTTGGTTGGGGATTCTAGAAATTGTACTCTGCCACATATAGAGACCACCAGACTGGAGAAGAATGGCCTGGATGGGAGTCACAGAATCTTGTCACGAAAAGATATGACAACAATGCCACCAAACATTGGATGCCTATCAAGTGAAAAGAAAATTTAGTACATTTCATTTGCATTTCTATCCTATCTATAGTGTAGGTTGATATTATAAAACATGTTCTAAAACAAGCTGCTATGCATTCTTTCATATTTCATTGAGAGTTTTGAGCATTTTTCAAAATGGAAGCATATGTGTTTCTTCAGGAAGAACACAATTGTGCCACAGAGTGAAATATTTCTCCAACTATCCTCTCCAAGTAGCCATTCATAAATAATACAGATTTTTTTAAAATTAACTTACTAGATAAATGATCTGAAGGAAAAAATGAAAGAAACACAACTTCTATTTTTTATGGCTGTTCAATAACCAGCATAAACTCTATTGCTGCAGTGAGTTATTCATAACAGCCGACCTTAGGCAACATCTGCAGATCAGCAAATTACAGTGAAACATGTGATATCACAGTCTCAAAACTGATTCATATTATTTTAAGTCACACATGACATTCTTGAGGTTTTTAAAAATAACAATTTTAAGGATTTTTTCCCATGTTTAAATTTCATGTAACGTCAAAAAGTCTGTTAGTTTCTGTATATAAGTCTTCTTCCGCAGGCTCAGTAGGTCTCTTGTTCCAACAGGTTCACAAGTAGGATTAGTAAACTAACTGCATTTAATTTCTCATTTTATCTTACTAAGTTGACACAGGCCAGTCATTTTATACACTGCCCTGAGTTGTACAAATAATAAAAGTCTGGATACAAATCTAATAAATAACCAAATAATTAAGTAATATCACATTATTTCAAGAGCAAATGGATTCTGGACAAAGTCATGAAGTCATCAGAAATGAAACTCAGCTCAAAGAATAATAATTCTGCAGTCCACATTAAGACCCCAGATACAACAATCCAAATTAAGCTTCCAACGTTATAAGTAAAAGGTCAGATAAATATATTTATTTCATAAATCTTGCAAATTTTACATCAGTTTTATGGTTTTTGAAAGGCTGACTGCCTTACTCACTGGACTGCTGTAATTTTTATCACAGGATTCATGTGTAAAAATAGTGCTTACGTCCTTAGTTCCTTTTTTGTTATTCCCTATTATATTAATTTAACCTCTGTTGTGGAACTAGGAGATTGTGAGCTAGTAATCAGCAATGATTTGAAGAAAATGATGTTATTAGAATTTTATCCCACCTTTCTTTATAAGTAACTCAGGATGGTGAACACTCCGTCCGCCCCTTTTCCCACAACAACTCTATTACCGTATATTAATCATACTTCCCAAACAATGAATTCTATGAGGTGGGTTGGGATGGTAGAAAGTGACTGGTCCAAGGCCACTCAGCCGTCTTTCATGTTTTTCTATGTAATAAACAAGGAATACTACTTTTGTATGTCTCCAGGAAATGTCCATATTGTAACTGGAAATCTGAAAATTTTGCTGGCAAAAGGCCACAATACAAATGAATTGAAAATAATTTTGATGTCTAGTTGTACAAGCCAGATGGATTCATATGGATGGATTCATATTCATTTGGATGGATTCATATTCATTTATATGCCGCCCAATCCCTGAGTCCTTTGGGATTGGGCGGCATATAAATACTGAAAATAAATAAATAAATAAATAAATGTTTAGCATCAGCTATATAAAAACCAACTATTGCTATCATACTAGATTCAGCATGCTCCCCAAGAAAAGTAATTAAAGGTGTGCTCTACAGGTATGTGGGGGGGAGAGAAGGAGGGAGAGAGAATGTTGAGAAAGGTTGTCAAATTTCTTGACAATTACTTGATAGCATTAAAAAGAGGGTTTTTTAAATTGCTTTTCTATTTTCTAGTTATCCCAGTTAATACAACTCAAATGCTGTAGGATTGGCACAGGCACCCTAACTTTTAAAATTATGAATGAAACCAAAAAATTAGCACACTGGATCAGGCTCATATTTGTTTCCTTTTTCCTTCTTTAATCTTCTGTCATGATAATGGCTATGTGAGATGAGAACATCATCATCCTTCTCTATTAGAATATTTCCATATTGGAAATATTGTACCAACTGGATTCCTTCCAATCACTAAGTAATTCAGAGCCTACAATGCCATGGCAACTAGTTAGTTTTTTGCTGCAGAGAACTCTGGGTTTTCATAAGCTATTTTCACACAATACACAATGTAGCTTGTATGTAGCCTACTATGTTATATCACCACAACCATCTGTATAACAAGATTTAGAGATAAGATGTCCGGGGAAAACTAAGACAACTCAACTCGTTCGTTTGTTAGATGTATATTTTATCTTCCCTTAGAGAGGTCAAGGCAGAGGTTGTAACACTTCCTCCTCCAGATATCTTGATTAGCCTCCTTCACCAGGACTAGATGTGGCACTGCTTTCCTGGAGCCAGATTTTTGACAAAGGAAGCTGTTGAAGCAAAGAAAAGATATAGGTGAGGTTGCACTTTTGTTATCATTCCAAAGATTTGATCGTGCACAAAGTCATCCCCTTCCTTCCTTATTAAACAGTGAGCCAAAAGCCTAACAGCACCTCTATTATCTTTTCTTCAAATACAGTATTTAGTTTATGATCCCAGCAGCAATACAGTGCTAAATGCACAGCCAAGTGGATAGATTCACACAACACAACTAATCTTGTTTTAATCAATAAACCACAATTAAGCAAATATGAGACAACACAATGTGCAAGTAAATAAGATCAGGCATATACAGTATAATACTTGATGTGTTAGGGCTGATTGCAGCCCTGCTTGGTGTTATCTCAATAAATTGGTGCACACATTTAATCCCATCAGTTGGCAAGTATATCATGGTTCTCAACCTGTGGGTCGGGACTCCATTTCGGGTCGAACGACCATTTCACGGGGGTCACCAAACAATGCAGTCTGCTATTTTTTTCCCCTTTTCCTTAGCTGTGCTACTCCCTTTTATTCTATTGGCTTTTGAAAGCCAATAGAATAGACTCTCTTGAATAGAGTCTAATTCTATTCGCTTTCAAAAGCCAATAGGAATTGTCCAGGCTGTCTCTGCCCTGCCCGCCAAAAGTCCCATTCTGCAAATGGTGCTGCAAGTTGTCTGCAGCAAAGGCGAGCTGTCTGGAAGTTTCCACCCCTTCCTGCTGAGCAACTACTAAAAATGTAAGTAAAAGAGGGCCAGGGGTGGGAGGTGGGAGGCCGGCGGGTGCAGGGAGGGTTGCTGGCGTGTGTGGGGCCCGGCAGGTGCCTTACCTCCCTTGGGCTGGGCCAGCTGGTGGCCCAGCCAATGGTCGGCCTGTGCCATTGCTGCCCCTTGCCAGCTACGCCTCGGCCGGCGCAGGGGGTAGCACCACGCATGCGCGGTGCTCCTGGGCAGGGAAAGTCCTCGACTTATGACTGGTTGGTTAGTCCTCGACTTACAACCGGTTGGTTAGTCCTTGACTTACGACCAGTTGGGGTCGCGGCATTAAAAAGGTTGAGAACCACTGCTTTAAAGTATCTCTTTAGCAACAGCAAGAAAAAAAATGCTATCTTCATTTTTTAAAATTAGAAATACAAACAATCCTGCAAATAAACACTATTATTTAAACTACCAAAGCTGGAAAAGAAAATTTGTGGCCTTCCAGATACTGCTGAATTAAAACTTGTGTTTATATATAATCGGTTTAACAAGTATTTATTTAATAAATCACAATTAGCATAGTTTTACAAATCACAATGGCCAAGTTCATACAACAAAAAGACTCTATTATATCTTAATCTGGTCTTAGTCTCTTGCAATACTGCTGTGCTGGCTGGAAATATAGGGATGTCAATTTAGCTGAAACACACCAGGTTGGGGAAAGATGATCATTCTAATAATTTGTCTAAAACAATATTTTATTGCTCTGTTTATGAAATTAGGGAAGTCAAAACTACAACGATGGGTAAAACTGTATGCTAGGTAAGGGTTTCCTCATTACATCCTGGTAGCTCCAAACAAAACTAAATAACAGTGGAATAAAATTCTGCCTTCAATCTGCTCTATGGAACATATATAATTCTCTTCCTCTCTTGCCCCCTCCAAGTTAAAACAGCCAAATACCTGGGACTTTAGAAACTGAACCAAACTGATCAACCATCAAGGTTTGTAGATGACTGGGCATCTGAACTGGAGTCCTGCTCTCATTGCAGCACATGACTTCTCTACACTTGGGTTTGTATGACACATGCAAGCAGAAAGCAGGAACTATATTGCATTCAAAGTATTCATTAAATTAACTCTGGAAAGCCAACCACGAGTAAGCAAGTCCTGCAAGCGCATTAGAGCTCCTAAAAATAGAAAAATAAGCTAAGGGTAAGGTTGCCTTCTGGATGGGGTCGACTCCCGGCATTTGTTTGGAAATTAAATCGGGCACCTCCAGCAGCAAATGGTGAGCAAAGACATATCATTTGCACGGGGACTTCTTAAAGAATTTGGACTAGACTGCCAACTCTTTTCCGCCCGTGTCCGCGGATTTAAGGAAAACCCCAAATGCAGCTGGCGAAAGCGTGACCGTCTGCGGCTGAAAGTCCCAAAGCGCCCAGCAGCAAAGTCGCAGCGAACGGGCTTGGTTTTGGGCTCCGTGCCTACGAGTTACAGCCTCGCGGACCAGGAGATTCGCTTAGGGGACAAGGCTACTTCCGACTACCAGAGTTTCTAATCCTACTTCTCAAACAATGAATCTCAAGCCAGGTCGACATAAACAAGTTTTACGAGCCATTTGCCAAAACTCCACTTCCTCTTCGCGCTGAGCGCTGCATAAAAAAATAATCTGCAGACTAAGCTCTTTCCCTCCAGCCTCGCTTGTGCAACGTCATCTGGGGGACGGTCTTTTGAGCCACCCTCCCACTCTACTCTGGGGGCGGGGGGGGGGGAAATTGTAGGAGATCCCAACAAAGAAAGGAGCTGCTGGGAGGTAGGATCCTGCCCCAAACTTTCGCTTGATTTTCGTTCCTTGTTGAGATTCGGGATTTTCCCGAACGCTTACGGGAGCGGAGGACCCAGGCTCTGTTTCGAACTTTCCCGGAGAGTCAGCACAACCTGGCAACAAAACTTCAAATCCGGCAGAAGCAACGCCAGTAAGTAATTTTGGGCTGGCTCTCCTCGACCCAGGTGTAGGCTGGGAGGCTGGGTTAGGTGTGACGGAAAACATCGGTGCAGAGGAGGTGGCAGCCGAGCTGTATAGGCGCCGAGGCAGATCGGCATTGGGCTTTAGCATCCAAACCAGACCTGGACATCTGGCGAATCGCTAGGTGTCCCGACCTGGCAAGAATCGTAGCAAAAAAAAAAAAAAAAAAAGCTTTTAAATTGTTCAAGAGCGACTGCCGAGGCGTGCATCGGTAGCCTTTCCCATCTGGGGAGGCCTTTCAGATGGTATTTAGCTACAATATCTTGGGCCCAACTGGCGTGTTATTCCGGAACATTTGAAAGGCGGCGAAGCTGGGAAAGGCTGGAATAGAAAGAAATATAAAGATGAGGGTGAAAAAGAGTAGTTTATTTTTTCTCCTTCAGCTTCTTCACCGGATTTTGGCAGAAAAATAACAAGATGCAGTGTTAGGCCCTGAGAAAAAAAGGAGTTTCTGAATCCACCGGCATAATATAAACTTTCATTTTGAAACCATGCTTCTAAAACAGTAGTTCTCAGCCTTTTTAATGCCGCGACCCCCAACCGGTCGTAAGTCGAGGACTACTCAACCGGTTGTAAGTCAAGGACTACTCAACTGATGCAGCACCGTTTGCAGAATGGGACTTTTGGCAGGCTCAGCAGGGCAGAGACAGCATGGACAATTCCTATTGGCTTTTGAAAGCCAATAGAATTAGACTCTATTCAAGAGAATCTGTTCTATTGGCTTTCAAAAGCCAACAGAATAAAAGGGAGTAGCACAGCTAAGGAAAAGGGGAAAAAATGGCGGACTGCGTTGTTTGGCGACCCCGGTGAAATGGTCGTTCGACCCCAAATGGGGTCCCGACCCACAGGTTGAGAACCACTGATCTAAAAGAAAGGGAAATCTGTTATGATTCACTCAATTATGATTTGAATTAAGCTTGGTTGGGCTGTTCCTCTTTGGAGTCAAGTCTAACATGGACAGCTTGGGAGAAATACACTAGAAAAAAAAGAAATTTGAATGATCTCATCTGAGATCCTTGCATAAAGAGTAGACTGGGCTTCTTTGTATTTTATGAGTGGCTCAGTCAGCTTAGAATAGATACGATATTCCACTTAGTAAATAGAAACAAACAGTCGGAAAAAGTTTAATTTGTTTATAACAAATTTGTTATAACACAATTCTGTGTTATGCAATTCTATTTGTTTATAACACAATTCTGAACAACTTTTAGAAAAGGAAAGTCCTGTTTGAGTTAAAAAAAAATCCTTACATTTTATTGAACCTGCTTTCAAGTTCAATAATTTGATTTCAGGAACTTCCTGAACATGTAGACATGCACACACTTGTACTATAAGTAGGTTAAACTTTTGAAGTGGCTTACTCCCAGATACAGTCATCATGATTTGGCTGCAGCTTCAGTTTGGGATGGATGTGAAAAATTTGGAAACAGGATTGGCAAAAACAAAACTGGTCACCAAGCCTCAGTTATTTCACTTTTCATGCCAGCCTATCTCCTTATGAAACTGAACAATAAATATTCTGCCCTGGATAGCAGGTAAGAAACTAGAAATGAGTTTATAGGATACCAAACTTGTTGTTTAGAAATGCAAGCAATACAGCAAGGCTGAACATGAATAAAAATATAAGGGATGAAAAATTTGTATTATAAAGCAAGGGTGTGTTTCAGCTGTAAGAAAAGAATTGCCCAAGTATAACTTGAGGTTTCCTGCTGCAGTAGTAAAGCCAGCTTTATTAAGCCAGCTGCAGTAGTAAAGCCAGCTTTATTAAGCCACAGCAGTTTTTTTTTGGGGGGGGGGTTCATTTGGTTTGTATTTTATTTTTCAGTGTGGCCTTCTTGAGCCAGTGCACAGCCTGAAATATAGTTTATGCATTTGCCAGACATATCAACATTTTTCTGAATTTTAAATGCACACAATTTGCACACATTAGGGGAAAATGAACAAAAAATTAAAATGCAATAGGGAAACATATATATATATATATATACATTGGTATAAAATGTATATATTTGAGCTCAACTATTTGGGTATCACACTGCACTTGGTGTCTCTTTGGGCACTACTGCTGTGCTGCACTATTTAATAATAACCATCTGAAGTAGTTTTGTTTTTACCTCCTGAAGAGGTACATGTAAGATGGCCATTGTGTAAGGATACATTTGCCCCACTTGAAAGTCTTTCAAGTGGCATAGCAAGTATTCATTAATCCCGAAGGCCTGGAGACTAAAAAATATGAAGAACGGTTGCAGGACTTGGGTTTGGCTAGTCTAAAGAAAAGAAGAAATAGGGGAGACATGATAGCAGTATTCCAGTATTTGAGGGGCTGCCACAAAGAAGAGGGGTTACATTATTTACCAAAGCGCCAGGGGAAAGAAGAGAAACAGTGGTTGGAAACTGATCAAAGAGAGAAGCAACCTGGAATTAAGGAGAAACTTTCTGACAGTGAGGACAATTAACCAGTGGAACAGCCTGCCTCCAGAAACTGTGGACACTCCATCACTGGAGATTTTTAAGAAGCCACTTGTCTAAGATGGTTTAGGTTCTCCTGCTTGAGCAGAGGGTTGGACTAGAAGACCTCCAAGGTCCTATTCTATTCTATTCTATTCTATTCTATTCTATTCTCACAAAGTATAAAAGTTATTTGTATCTCTTTTGTGCCATGGGTAATCAACTGTTGTGTATGGTATCATTTGAGTATACCATAAAGATTCTAATCTTGCTAAGCTATGTCTGTGATCCATGTTTGTGATTTTTTTTGTCAAGTTAGGGAAAAACCATGAAGCATTAGATTTGTGATTTAATCACTGAGTCTAATCCAGGGAAGCCAGATATCAGGAGCTCTTAGGTAGCTTAGAAATTACTTATCTTGCTCCTTTCCAGAGATCATCACGTGGGGGGGGGGAGTAGGGAGTAAAACCCTACTGGGATTCATGGATCTCATGGCAAGATCTTGTTGCAGCATTCAGGGAACTGACGACTCTGTTTTTATGGCAGTTTTGAGCTATTTCTCTGGGTGCTATCAGACCATCTTGGGAAATTTCCTTGAGAATTCTACAAGGCCTCTCATATTATTTAATATAATAACATTATATTATATGTCATCAACATGTCAATACTTAGCTATATTTCTTTCATATGCTTTCATGGTTTGATGTTTCCAGAATCTCAGTATGTCCAGGCTGTAAAGGACTGAGAAAATAGTTAGCCAAAGCTAACTATTTTATGGATAGTTATAATATAATATAATATAATATAATATAATATAATATAATATAATATAATATAATAGGATCAATAATAATTAGACCTTCTGATGAGGTTGCATTTCCTTTTATGGGGCATACAATATTCACAGTCTGGTGCCCCCAAAATGACACTGAGCAATCCCTTAACATTAGTGGCAAAGATACATATGTAACATCAATGCTGGATAACTACAAATCTGTGACAAGATTGAGCTGAAAAAATCAGACGTGTCCTTTCACGAAAGAAATGGACTAAATTTGGTGATTCATAAAATGGTAACCTGAGGGTTGTACAGTAATACCTGCTATGTGAAGCAATCCTTGAAAATGTCTAAAATTGGAACTGGCTCAGAAAATTAGAAGCAGAGTAAAACTGAATTTGATAGATTCTCCTATTTCCGGCCAGATTGAGGTGTTTCTGTTAGTTAACTAACAAAGCACAAAACAAAAACACTGTTCATATAGTTAAAATATGAAAACGTTACCTATGTTTATTTCTTCCTTCTTTTTTACTTCCTTTTTTACCACTTCGGGTGTTGAGGAAGATACAAATTCTGGTTCTTGCATTTCTAGTGGCCTCCACCATTGTTATTTGATATAGTAGCATGTCTTTGATATTGTCTCTCCAACTTCTTCTGACTCTGCCTCATGTTTTTTTGGCATTTTCCTCTTTTTGTTTATGGCATGTATAGAATCCCAAAAATCCCAAGTCATTCACTCCAGGGAAGCAAACTATGGTATTCCTGTGTTTCTTTATTGGTTATTATTAATAAAATAATTTACTGGATAATATTTGAGATTCATTCATAACATTTGGCTTTGATCAATACAATACTGTATTTATTATTTAGTGTTATATGTTAGGTCTATGCTAAGCTTTATAGGGTTATTCAGTTTGAAGAAAATGAAGTCAAAATTACTGTATTGGACCAGATCGATAAACTTACATTTTTACTTACCCAAATAGTTTTTGCATAAATTCTTTTCAGCTGTTTCTCTACTATTTCAGACATATGGTGTTTATATATAAGACAGGCACAGAAGAAACTTGCCTTGATGCAAAGCAAGCCAGGGAAAATTAAATCCATCTTGATGTTTATAAAGTAGATTATCTTCCTTCTAAACTTCACTGTATATCCTGAGATGGATTAAATAATTTTATACATGTATATTAGGTGTAGTTGTTCTGCAAACTTGAGAGGATTTATGACATTAAGGATGGGTTAAAATTGCTGCTTGTTGTCTAGTGTCACTATCAGATCAGGATCTGTGTGTGGTTCCCATATAACAAGTGTGATCTTCTGTGTGGTTCCATCTCTGTGATTAGATCCTTAAAGCTAGAAGTAGCACAGAGTTGAGTAGCCCCATCTCTAGGTCTCCCCAGATTTTGGAGATCATTTGTTATTTGCTCATTTCACTGATATTTCTCCACAAGGCCCTTTAATAACAACACACTGCTTTTTTGGTTAAAAAAGAAATTAATGAGGCTGAGTTTGAAATATGTCTACACCTAAAACAACTGCATAGACCATGATGAATGTACTGTATCCACTGTCTTCTAAGAGCTCTGTAGAGCTCTGTGCTAGTTCTTAATCCTGAAGGTGAGGTGGCTACTGAAAAAAAACAATGTTCTCATGGTTAGATGATCAGCTGCCAGCGAGAGTTGCCTTGAGTATGATTGTTGTTATTGGTATCATTATTTAAGTAGTGTTAAATTATTTTCATATAATGTTGTGGAGGTATTGATGAACAATTTGAAACTTCATGAAGGGATTGATGAACTGAAAAGTTTGGAGATTGTTGCTTAAAGTATACATCTTGTAAAACTCCAAGCAGGTTAATGAAATACCTTGCTGGTCATTGCTTCAGTTTTAAGCCTGACTGACACAGTCATATACAAGGAGATAGTAAAATGAATAAACATAAACACATGCAGCCAATTTAATTATATCTGCTGCATAACTAATTCATTTTCTCATTATGCTGCATATTTAAAAGCCCTGACTCTTTAATTTTGTTTAGTTCACACCATTTGAACCATTGGGAATATTAATCTAAGCTAAATATGTTTTCCATTGTTTGTAGTGCTATTTTTTTCTTGACCTGTTTTTTTGGGTTTAAAATAAAGCTTCAGGAGCTATGAATAGTATTGTAAAGAAGGAAAGAATGTTGATTCATTTCAGTTTTGTGTCTAGTTGTTTGTTGCAGCTTAAATTATAGTAGATTATGTGGGAGGAGGGAAAGGAAAATCTTGTGCTTATCACACAATTTTGAGAAGCATAATAACTTTGCTTTAAAAAGAGATGGTAATTTTACATAGAACTGGTCTTTATGAACCAGGTCCTTCAACAAAGCTGATTGATGCTTTTTGGATTTAAACAGGTTAGTGCTATGAAAATCTAAAAGATAAGTTAGTGCTGTATCTTACAAGAACATTGTAGAAACTCCCACCCGCCTAATAAATGACCAGGATATCATTACCAGATGTATAACAACGATGATAATTGAAATCTGAGTAACACCGCCAATTACTTACTAGCTGGACTTTCACCTTTGCTGGGCAGCAATGGGAATGGAAAATGTTTATGTAATTAAATAGTAGCAAAAAATGTTTTCCTGCATATTCATTATTCATGAGTGTACTTCTTTCAAAATCATACATGAATGAGTCATATGTTTGTTTGGAAGGCAAGTGTTACCATGAGATCTGGAGTATGGTATTTTTGGTCTTCTGAGCCTCTGGGATCATTCATTTTACATGGTGTTTGTTCTAGCATAAAATGATGGATAAGAAAGCTTTATTTAAAATCAGAGTGATAGTCACTGTGTATCCTGTGCAGAAATGTTACACATTAGTGCATTCCTGTTTAGTCCCACAGAGTTCTTCTGTGGAAATCTGGCTGTGAGGTTTGGAAGAACCTGGTCCATGATTATCTCTCTCTGGGTCAAGAGGATGGGGCTCCATCTCAGGTTACAGCTAATGATGAACTGTGATCAAGCTTTATATTTCTCTTGGTCCTTGGTACGGTAGATCTATGAGCTGTACAGGTAGTCCTGTACAGTTGAGCCCAATATTTCTATTGCTAAGCAAGGCAATTGTTAAGTGAGTCTCTCTCATGCATTTTACGATCTTTTTGACCAGTTAAGTGAATCTTGTGGTTGTTAAGCAAATCTGCCTTCTCCCATTGACTCTGCTAATCAGAAGCTCCCTAGGAAATTTGTAAATGACAACCCCAGGATATGCAATAAATATATGATGGTTGCCAAGCGCCCGTATTTTGATCATGTGACTGGGGATAATGCAATGGTTGTAAGTGTGAGAACTGCTTATTAATCACTTTTTTCAGTGCCATTCTAACTTCAAATGGTCACTAAACAAATGGTTCTAGATGGAGGATTACCTGTATAGCAGGAAGGTAGGTAGATAGAGAGAGACAGATAGAGGCATACAAATAACACAAGATAAGAATGCTATTCTTACCTGTCAGTACTCTTAGAGCTGATGACATATTCCATAGGATACAAGATTACTGCTATCCAGGGCTTTTTTTGGTCATAGAACGCCTAGAACGGAGTTCCGGCACCTTTTTTGGATGGAACCTTGTAGGGTAGGTATGACTTGTGATTTCTGGCACTTTTTTTTTTTTTTTTTTTTTACAAAAAAAGCACTGCTGCTATCCGATGTCTCCCCTATAAATTCCCATATAAACAAGAACTGATGGCACAGCAGCATATTCAACACTTCTCTGGCTCTCATAAGCCATCACACAGAAAGGAAGTATGGAGAGTTTTTCATTTTTAAAAAGCGAACCAAAAGGCACATTTTACATTGGAGATGGTGTTCAGCAGCAGCACACATGTTCTTACGTTAGCATTTTAGATATTTCCTTTGCAAATATGATATTGAATAGAAAGGAGCAGGATCACTGCATTTGAGCAATTTGAGAAATTATAGCTTGAGATTTATCAGTAATAATAAAAATATGCTACATGTGTAACAAGGATGGTCCCCCAAATGAATCCGCATAGGTTTGGCTGAGATGTGACCACAAACCATGGTCTGCCATGATGAGAATGAACAATTGTAGCTTTGAACTCATGTTTTTTTTTCTGGTCTCCTTCCTTTGTGAATAAGATCAAAATCTTTTAGTGAACAGTAAACTATAAATTGACACTGTGCCCGAATGCCCTAAGAACGTAATCTTAAAATCCTATTGTATGAGAGAGATATATAATTTGAAATATCATTATGGTTGGTCACAATCAGCCAGGTATTTAGGCATTGATTTACCTATCAAATTATTCTCTAATAATGTGACTAGAGATAAATAGCATACAAATTTTAAATTATTATTATAATAATAATACTCCTGATCAGTCACAGAGCAACCATAGGAATTTAGAAACTATAACTCCAGGTGTTTGCACATCCTATATTTTGATGCATTAGATTGGAGATTGCAACTATGATATGCATAAAATAAGCTATATTCTCCAATTTATTTTATTAGATAAAAATACTTAAGGACTCCCAAGGATTTCTAAAGAAGGTTGTCCTTTATTAGGGCTAATAATATTGAACCTTGGATGAGGGCAAATCAATGAAAGTCAAGCCCAAGAAGACAAAGATTTTTTTTTTCAATTACAGTAGAAGTAATATATCCATGGAGAAAGCCTTTGTTAAATGACAATGTGTGGTGCTATCTCCCACATGCAGCAGCATCACTGGTAGGTTTGTTTAGAGCCCTTTGAGTGACAATCACCTCGTTGTCAGCTCTATATAAAAGGTGTCCCAAGTTCTTTCTCCTTTCATTGCTGCAGCAACTACAGCATAAATGTGGGAATTATTTGCAGGAAAGGCAGATGGAATTAAAGTTATAAAAGCATCTTTTTATTTGTGTTCACATTTTTCCTTTTATTTAATACTTTGGGGTTTTTTTTAGTGCAGCTTAAATCATATGATAAAAATGAATCCAAACAACATAAACCACTATAAGCAGAGCAGTACAATAAAAAATTCTCTGGTTCAAGCCACAATTAGCTGCTGATATTATTACATACACAGCAAAGTAAAATCATTATTAATATTATTATTTGCTGCTTGCATATTATGGAGAGAATGTAGATTATCTGGGAAGCAATTCACCAAGGTGGACAGAATAACAGGGTTGGAAGAGACTTTGGAGGTCTTCTAGTCCCACCCCCTGCTCACAGCAGAAGACTTTATTCCATTCCAGGAGCTGGTCTGTGAGGGATCCTGCTCCAGATCAGGGGCTTAGTTTCCTGCTTGTTTGTTCCTCCTCATTCAATAACTACATCACCAGCTACAAGCTGTTTTATTTATTAGCAAAAAATAACCTAAGACCGTGGTGGCGAATCTATGGCATGCGTGCCACAGGTGGCTCGCAGAGCCCTCTCTGTGGGTACGTGTGCCGTCGCCCTAGTCCTAGGCCTTCAGCTGGGTTTTATAAAACCTTTTCACTTTAGGCCTCCGCCGCCATGTGAAAAAAAAAGTTCAATCAATCAATTTCAACTTCTTGCGGTAAAAAAAAGGATCTCATAAAGTTGGAATTGATTGATTTAACTTTTTAGTCCCACCCAGTCTGCCGTTACCACCTCAGCCATGCCCAGCCAATGCACCATGCCCACCCAATTGGCCACACCCACCCATTGGGCCATGCCCACCCAATGGGCCACGCCCACCCAGCACCCGACAATAGAGAAGTGGGTTTGGGGTTGCAGTTTGGGCACTTGGTCTCTAAAAGGTTCGCCATCACTGACCTAAGACATTCAATTTAACATCATCTTCACTGTGATTATTAAAAAAAAGTTTTTGCATGATATATAAATGGGGTAACATGCTATACAGGCATTGGTATATGCCCTACATATAATAGCTTGAGATAAGGAGCAAATTGATGGCTATTTAACAATAGTGGGGAACTAACCTTAGCCAGGAAGAAGAAAACAATCAGTTGAATGAGGTTAGAAAGAACATTTTGCATTTTTTTTTTTAACTTGACCGGTCATCCATCCTGACCCCACTTCTTGTTTGAAGCATGGAAATAGCAATTGTCTAATTATATTATAATGAGGATGTTATCCAGGATAACTTCCTCATTATCTTTCTGGGGGTACTTCAAAGCAGAGAAGTCCTTGACATGAAATCTCAGTTGCTCTCCAGGCATAAGTATGAACAAGAAATTCCTTCCTTACCTCTTTTTCTTTTTATCACTTTCTAGCTGGCAGGATTTAAGCCCCACACTGCCCCTGGCACTGCTTAAAAATGTGAGCTCACCTGCTAAATCTGTCCACCTATTCTTTGTGACAAACAGACATTAAATCCTATACGGTATAATCCTTGAGAGAAGGTTTATTAAGGAGTCTTATTCAAAACCAAACATGCTTTTTCTGCAGTAAAACAAAGTAAAACAGTAAGATACTTGGGATCTAATGCTTACTGCTACTATGCTATATGTGTTTCTGAATGAATTTCTGCTATTTTGATGATTTGAGATACAAAATAATAGTTTCTTTCCTCCTTTTCACATTGTAGGTCCCACATTCATGGGTCCAAGTAAAAAAGTGGATTTGAAAATCATTATCATTGGAGCCTTGGGGTAAGCATATTTTTAAAATCTTTTCTAAGATGCATTTCTCTCTCTCTCATCATGAACTCCCATTTTATTCTCATAATAAGTTTGTGAGACAGGTTAAGGAGACAGAAAATGATAAAATGGCGACTGGCTGAAAGTCACAGGCTACATGGAGAATGATTTGAACTGGGATGTCCCCTTCTGACTTTGGCTTTCTAGTGACTATCCCAGAAGTGTTTGTTTATTTATGTAATTATGTAATCATCTGTTAACAGTGAATGTGGTGACATACAAAGTCAGCAGTTACAAACAATAATCCATGATAACCAACTGGAATAATACATCTCAGCCATAAAACCATGCCAGCAGCATAACTCACCTCACCTCCTGGCCCAAATGTCGGCCAAGACAGCCAGGTCTTCAGAGTCTTACAACAGATAAGATAGTCTGGATCTTCACAGGGATGTTGTTCTACAGAGAAAGCAGGAATCCAATAAGATGACGTTGTTGAATAGAGGGGACTTGGAGCATACCCCTCTGCTGGGAGTGATGTAGAGAGTACTCAGTGGAGCAGTATAGAGAGTAAGGAAGATGACTTTGACAAAGATATGCAAAATCCATTGCTAGAGCAACAAGGGATTAAATATATTTTAAGTCCACAGAAGGCAGATATTCTTTTATGATAATATGCTTCTGCAGCTCAGGTGCTGTCTTATTCCTATTGCAAATAGGAGAAGGACGTACAACATAACCAGAATGTATCTATCCATTAAATAGACCAGACCCAGTAATCAACTCCAGAAGCTGTGAATGCTCCAACACTGGAAGTTTTTAAGAAGAGACTGGACAGCCATTTGTCTGAAATGGTATAGGGTTTCCTGCCTGAGCAGGGGGTTGGAATAGATGACCTCCAAACTTTATTATTATTATTATTAATAATAGAATCTTGCAAGTTTAAAATAAGTTGAAAATAATGATGTATTTTTTTTTCTGACATTGGAAAGAGGAAAGAAACTTTTTCATTAGAAATGAAAGTAGATTCACATACTTAATTATGTAGAGTTTAGAGTGGATAGAAGAGGAACTTTCATAGTTTTAAATTTCAAGCATTTGTGAGCAGAATAGAAAAATATGGAATTCCAGCTTGAATATGCTGCATAATGTTCACTAGCAAATCTTTATTCATTACTTTTCTCTTATAGTCCTGGCTATTTTTTTTTCACCCAGATGGAATTATTTTTCTCTAAGTGAAGCAGAAGGGGTACATTTAAAAGAATAGGCAGGTGGAGTTTAAGGACTCCTTAGAGTCTTTAGACTAATTTGCTGGATAATACTCATTTGTAAGTTCTCTGTTCCTCATTACTGGTGAATCATAAACATATATTTGGGAAAAATGTGTATTATTTTTTAAAAAAAGTTATTTATTTTTCACATTTCTGAACTGCTCGTCTTCCTCAAAGAGGGACTGGGAGGTGTACAATAAAATATTAAAATATAATTAATTTTTAATGAAATGATGCATATACTCTTAGAAAATGGAATTTCATGTCCATAAATACTTAAAATACTATTTCAGTTCTTGGAATTCCTCTTTTTAAGATGATGTGTAAAAACTGCTGCAATAATGTTTTAAAGGATTGGTGATAGATATGTGAAATGCAACTGACAGTACATCATAAAATGTTAAATTTTTTTTAAAAAAACCCACCATAAATAAAGTCAAGGAAAATTATGGATGTGACAGATGACTTTTGTGATTCAATAAAGGTGCTCCTTAAGCAACCCTCGCTATCTTGATATATTAGTTTAGAAAAAAGTCCTTTGACATATGACCATTGTAGTTAACCTATTTTTAAAAAGATCGAAGTACTTAGATGAATGTGCCATGGATTTATGACCAGTTACTCCAGAAAAAAAATGGAATTTCTACTTGCTGACTTTAATAGGAATATTACACTACAGCTATCTACTTTGTGCTACTAGTATGACCAGATTGAGTTAGCAATTTGTTAGTGATAATGCTACAGATCAGATAAACAACAAAGCAGGCAAAGAGAATATTTCTTTCTTTTTTAAGTTGTCTCTAGTTGAATGTCTATGGAGATTCTTAGTCATCCAGGTCATAGTTATCCCAAAGACACTTTTTTCACAAGGCAATTGGACTTTGTTTTTCTTGGAAGACGTTTCGCTTCTCATCCAAAAAGCTTCTTTAGCTGAAAAAGCTTCTTGGATGAGAAGTGAAACATCTTCCAAAAAAACAAAAAAAACAAAAAAACAAGAAAGTCCAGTTGCCCCATGAAAAAGCATCTTTGGGATTGTCTGTAGTTGCTATTGTGCAGTAGTTGCTATTTGCTTCCAAATAAACAATCCATAGGATTATTTTTGTCAATTACATTTGTATATTGTATATTGATCAATACTTGCAAATACGTATATGCTATGCAAGATTAATTTGGAAATTATTATCTGAAACTAATTTGATGGAATCACTTATTTGAAATAAATATTTGAATCACCAAATTCATTGTTGAAACTGGATGGCTACAATTTTGAAATGGATTTTGAGTTATTCCCACAACCACCACCCCAATAAACTGTTATGGGTATTTTTTAATGTTTTCTAAACGGCTGTGAGTGTTCACTGATGTAGTGGTATACATGTAGCAAAAAAGTAATAATATTTGTTAGTAAGTACTGTATATTATTTCTTTCTGAAGAAATTTATATGGTCACTAAGAGTCCATGGAGACTTGCTAGCAGATCATCATCACATTATAGTCTTAGTATGTAGCCTTCTTCCTATTCCCCCACCCCCACACAAAAACAACCTTGTTGTGAGAGAGGGCTGAGAGAGTGGTCCAGAGTCACCGAACAAACCTCTGGGAGAGATGGACTAGAACCTGGCTCTCCAGCACTTTCACCATTATGCCACACCAATTCCCATTGTACCATTTGTGATATAATGTTTTGAGCGTCCATGTTTTTCTTCTGAAGCTGGGAGAGTTACAAGGGAAGAAAACAGAGTTTGCTGTCCCTGATCTAGTGAGAATTATTGTATTCATTTGAGTTTACATTTCTTTTATAATGTTTGTATATTGATTAGAGATTTTCCACTGTCCACTTGCAGATAAAGCAATTAGAATATTCCAGGGTAAATATATTAAATAGATGTTGTATAAGAAAATTTATACAGCCCAACAAGTAGAAATCAGGAGACAAACCAAAGAATAGAAATGGTGTTCTGGAAATTAAAAAAATGACTACTTACAAAAATTACATTAAAGAGAACCTGCTAAGTTTAAGAACAGATTGCAGTCCAAATATATGATTAAATGGTAACTCTAGGTGTTTTGTTGGCCAGTATCGGTCAGATAGATTGTACTGAACACTTTCACTTACTCAACTAATACTTGATATGCAGATGTTAAAACCTGGATCATCATCAAACAAACAAACCTGAATGATAGCACCACCAGTACATAGAGTGAAATGTCCAGACCACTCTATTTTAGACACCAAGAAAGACACATCTTCTATAAATTACATAAGAACCTAGTCAGGAGATGATCTCACATTTGTTGCTTGCGAACAAATATAAAAGCAATGGATACAGTGTCTGAAATAAGGCCATGCTGATCACCTAAATTGTATAAAGGGTATAACTAAATAGTTCTAACATTTCTACAGACTTATTTTAGTACAGGCAATAACTGATTATGATTAGAATTTGTCTTTGATTAGGATTCTCTGATTTCATCAGTTCAGGTGAAACAGAACATTAATGGACAATCTTTTAAAACATTCCAATCCAAACTTGTTGAAATGAAATTTGTATATATGCTTCTTCTTTTACCACAGTGTAGGAAAAACGTCTCTCCTACATCAGTATATTCACAAGAGATTTTATGAAGACTATCGCACCACCCTGGGAGCTAGTATTTTGTCCAAAGTTATGGAAGTAGATCACACACCACTGAAATTGCAGGTGACAGATGTTTTAATGTCTCAGATATCTTATTCCATGCTTAGCCAAATATTTATAGCTCAGTCAAATGTACTGCAAAGAAAAGACAGATATTGTGAAATACTTTCATATGTTTATATTACTATTGGCAGCAAATTTCCAAGAGAGACCACAGCTTAAGACATTGTAAGAAGAAAATAATGTTAATCTATGGTGGCAAAAAAATCAAGAGGAATCTGGTAGCTGGTATTTAATGAAGTGAGCTGCAGCTTACAAAGTCATGTGCTTTTTAATAAAATTTGTTGGGAAAGGAACTATCAGACTCCTTCAGAGCTTAAGAATATCACTTTGTAATTGCATCTCTCACTAAAATGCTGACTTTGTTAATAAACTTTTTGTTTTTCACATAGTCACCTTTAAAGTGTTGGTATTTTGGTTTTCCTTTGAGAAGAGGAATCACCTACCTATATGTCAGTGATCTATAGGGAGGCGAGGTGGGAGTTCAACACCAAGCATAGTTAATCAGTTTGTGTAACAGCCTCTGCAAATTTGTCCCAAATCAGTCTTCTGCTAGCCAATTGCAAGCCATTTCCTTGCTATTTCTTAATAGATAACACATCAAAGTGAATATTCATATTTCATATAAACGTAACCTTAATTATTGATACCTGTGGAACTGAACCTGCTACTCATTCATTCACACTCTGTTTTCCTTCCCTGAAGCATGTGGCATGGCTCCTTGTTCAGATGTTTCCCTCAATATCAAGCAAGGGAGGCTTTCCTTGTGTTATTCAGTGTGCCTCGGAGATAGCTCCCTGTCTGACTGTATTTTTTGCTTAATATTAGGAAGGAAGGAGATATTACAAAGCAAAGTATCCACCTCAGATACCCTTTGATGTTATATGAATGCTTTTGAGGCCCACAGTAGCCCCACTAAAATGGTAAAGAACATCCCAAGCATCCCATCCCAATATTCTGATATGTAGGGATTTTGAAAACATCGCTCCCCATTATAAGATCCATTTTGTGAACAGGTTAATATATTCTCGTAGTCATGTAGTGAGCACGCTTATCACATACTTCAGACTTCCAAATGTGCACCCCACATCCAAGAGTTACCTATCTCTGCTGTAATGGTTGCGGTACTGATGTTAATGCAGAAAGACTTCTTGTCAATTGTAAATAGAAAGATAAAATATAATTATGACTGAATTGTAGAATAGTAATGTTTTTGACACTGCAAATACTAACGCTTGTATGTTCTTCCTCCTTTAGATTTGGGACACTGGAGGCCAGGAACGATTCCGGTCCATTGTGTCCACATTCTACAAAGGTTCAGATGGTTGCATGCTGGCTTTTGATGTCACAGATATGGATTCTTTTGAGTCCTTGGATGTTTGGAGGAATGATTTTCTTCAGAAAGTCAACTCTACAGAGCAAGGCTTCCCAATGATTGTGCTGGGGAATAAAATTGACCTGGAAGATCGACAAGTAAGAGATGGAAGTGGAAATAAGAAGGGAAGTTGAATATAGAGCTTTCCAATCAGGGTCTGAGGACAAATTTTCAGTTTGTTCTCACATAATAAACTTAAAGAAAAACTAACATTTTTGTAACACAAAGAATTATTTGCATCTTTACCATGCTACTTATTATAGGACTTTCCCATCTCCAGATATTGACTATTGGAACTAAACTGTGTTTGTGCAAAAGGCCTGCATTCCTATGCATTCCTTTTGTTAGCTATCAAAATGGCTATGATCTCGTTTAGTGCTGAGTCTAGCCTCTGAATAATGCAAGAAATCTTGCTGCTGAGCTTCTACAGCAGATGGTTGTCCAGCCCTTGTTTAAGTCCTTCAATGAAAAATGTCTTCTGCATTATATTAAAGTATAACTGTTTTTAAGAAATTGTTCCTTACGTTTGAATAAAAATTGCCCTCTACTTGATTTAGACTTGCATTAAAACAAATCTGTGTAGCATGTATTCCCTGTCCATTAGCTTATCTTCTCCAAGGATCCCTGGTGCTTCAAGAATATATTTGTTTAACCACTATATAAAGCTTTCCTAGTACAACTCAAGATAACTTTATTATTGTTTATGTATTATATTATAATTTATTGCACACAACAATGTATCATTTTTTTGGCCATTTAACTATTGCTTTAGCTGGTGTTGCCTTCATATGCATCGAGTTCTTTCAAAGAACCTAGGCTGTCGTAATGTATTGGCATAGATACATCGGCTTACATAGTTGAGGTAGTCCTCAAATTATGATCACAATTGAGCCCAACATTTCCATTGCTAAGCAAGACAGTTGTTAAGTGAATTTTGCCCCATTTTACGAACTTTCTTGCCACAGTTGTTAAGTGAATCATTGCATTTGTTAAGTTAGTAATCTGGTTGTAAAAGTAAATCTGGCTTCCCCATTGACTTTGCTTGTCAGAAGGTGGCTAAAGATGATCACATGACCCTGGAACACTGGAACAGTCATAAGTATGAACCAGTTGCCAAGTGTCTGAATTTTGATCATGTGACCATGCAATGGTCATGTAAAAAAAAGTCATGTCACTTTTTTCAGTGTCATTATAGCTTTGAATAGTCATTAAATGAACTGTTATGAGTTGAAAATTACTTGTTATATATGCGGATCCAAGCAGTGTGACTTTTGCATTTGACAGACGGAAATTCTGTCAATGTGCAGATTTTCTATGTGCCATCCAAGATATGATACGATATGATATATGATATGATGTATTATTATGTTATATTACATTATATATTTGATATTATTTATTATTAATATTCCATTATTTGGGGATGACAATTATAAACAGCACTTTCATTGCATTCATTTCAATCATTCTTGAAAGAAACAACTTTCCATGTAATATTACCAGCTAATCAGTTATTTTAATTTATTTTTAGGTGTCCAAGGAGATGGCTTCATCCTGGTGCAAGGAGAAGGATATAGCATATTTTGAAGTTAGTGCCAAAAATGATATTAATGTGGTGCAGGCTTTTGAGACCCTGACAAGGCAAGCCCTATCAAGAGTAAGTAGCAAATTGCTTATAAGAAATAGAAAATCTGTTCTCTTTTGTACAGCAAAGACATGCCTACAATTCAAACTACAAGTTACAAGAGACACTCCATATCTGTCAGGATTATTGTAATGAAGATAAGATTAGTGAGACTGTCATTTAAATCATTAGCTAAAAGCAGTGTTTCTCAACCTTGACAATTTTAAGGCATGTGGACTTCAATTCCCAGAATTCCACAGCCAACATTGAAGTCCACATGCCTTAAAATTGTCAAGATTAAGAAACACTGAGCTAAAGGAAGATGTAATAGCTAAAATTAGTTATAAGCTGGCCTAAAGGTTGTACATTGGTTCCCTTAACTTAGCAGTCCCCAATATTTCCGGCTCTATGGACCAGTGGTGGCAGGGAGGAGGGTAGATGGTTTTGCGTGTGCACACACACTGCTTGCACAAATGCAGCTTCACGTGCTTGCATGCTTGTCTGTTGCTTGCACAGCCCAGTTCCTAAAGGGCTGTGATCTGACAATGGGCCGTGGTTCCCTGGAATGGGAACCCCTGTCTTATCTCATACTTTTTGTACTAGCTGTACAAAATGAAACTTCCATTTCTTTAGGGCATTTTAATGAAGATATTGTCTGGTTGTGGATTTTAGCTTCCTTTTTTTCTCTTATGACCAAGTAAAAGCCATGATGGATAAAGCAACTCTGATTCACCACAAGGTGTTGCTATTTGCTCACATTGCCATATGCAGAAATGTAAAGATTTTTCTTCCACAGTCTGGTTCTTGGCTTTTTCTTTCATGAATCACATGATTAGTGGATTACATGAAAGCAGAAATCTATGACCAAAAAGTGCAGTGGTTAGGAAGGCTTTGATGCTCTCTGAACCATTGCCAAAAAAAGTGACAGCTTTGATTTTCCTGCAACTAATGATGTTGTATTATATTAAACAATACATGTCTTTTTGCCTTATGCTTACATTGTGCAGGAATGTTTTTAGACTCTTCTAAAGTACAGGTGATGGCACTGAAAATTTTATGCGTTTTTAAAAATGTAACTTTTGGTTGTATTGTTTTTTCTTCCTCCAAGCAGTACAAAGTGCCTGGCTTTCAAACTTTCTTAAGAAGTTTAAGAAAGAGCTTTGAATTGAGAAAGAAATCTGCATTTGTGAGGTTCTATATTTGAGAAAAAATTATGGAAAATCGAAATGACATAATGAATAAGGAATAAAGTTTTCTCCAATTGGAGGGCTCTTAACAAAAACAATTGAAACACATTGGGCAACCAGCTTTCCCTTAAAATAACCTCATTCACTGTATTAAGAAAAAGAAAATAAAGCACCACTAGAGCCAAAGTGGAGGTCATTTTTTTAAAAAAAATTGACATTTTATAAATTTCATGAATGTACCAGGCAGTTTCATATTAAAACCCTTATCTGTCTCTCCCCATATATCTGTTTCTTAGGGAAGTTCACTGTCTATACAATTTTCAAATGATTGGCCAGGTAAATACATGGTCATATCCTGCAAAATGATTTTTTATATTTAAATTTTAGATTTATATTTTTTATTATTTATATTTTTCTCTTAGTATCAAGGGATGATTGAGAGTTACCTAACCGAATCTATAAAGCTAAGTCCAGAAGATCAGCCCACAACCAGATGTTGCTGACATCTTGTTTGGAATGATTGACATTTGGATACAGTTTGAAAGCTGGCATGTGGAACAGCTGCTGCTACTGGGGAATGCTGCTCATCAGGCTGAAAGATGAACTAATATAACAATATTGCCCTCTGGCATCCCAGCAAAGATGGAACAGAGTGCTCGTGAACACACAGACATTTAGAAATCAACATCAAGTATTGGGAAAATATTTACCAAGATGAAAGATTTATGTCCTTACTGTATCAGTCAGACCCTTCTCAGATGCCATTTTGAAGTTCAGATTTATGTTCCAGAACACTTCATGGAATGATCTGATCTCATATTGAAACTCATTCCTAGTTTTTGTCATGTTCTTTTGGTAAAACTATAGTAGATAATATCTGGATCATCTTGGAAAGGCCTGGTGTTTTCTAGATGTGGCTTAATTCCCAGATGACACATCTGAAGGTGCTAGAGTGGGTTGGGGAAAGTAGATCTACATAATTCAGGAACTGCTACTTAATATACATATGTAGTACCATAGGTATATGTCTTATTTTATTCCCACAACTGTTATGTGAGGTATGTTGAGTTGAGAAAGAGTAACTTGCTCAAAACCATCCAGTGTACTTCCATTGTAAAGAGTTGACTAGAATCTGAGTTTTGCATAGTCTGGGTCCAACATTCAACCCCTAGATCACCCTAGTTACAGCTCGATTTCCCCTCTCAGTTCCTGCTCTTGAAAATGCAATGTTAATCTAAGAATATTGATTTTACAACAGAAATGCAAAACTTTTTAATATTTGTTTATTAATATTGTACAGAATTGGAAACTAATATCACATAGGTATATGATTCTTTTTGTATAGAAACGAGGGTCAAAAAATACTGTAAAACTATAAATATAGATTCCATTTTCAGGGTGCTTCTATTTTGTAGAAGGTTAGTGCTTACTTAAGCAGGTTTACAGAGAATTTTTTTAAAAATACTAAAGAAAAATGAAATATTGGAAAAGGGAATATAATAGAATCAATTTCTACATGGAAATGTATAGCAGACATTTGAAAAAGGGATTTCTTTTTAAAAAACATTGGATATATAGTTCTTTCTTACCATTGTTCAAAGATCCTGTTTTTTACTGAAAAGAGTTTCAGATGTGAATTGTATTTATATGCCATAGATTGAAGCCATTTTCAGAAAAGATGTTCTCACATTGAATCTGTATGGAAATTGGAAGCATAATCAGGCCAATTATTGTCGTGCCAGCCTGCTGTCCGCTTCTTTGTTGGATATACTTACAAGAAGGAAGAACTTAGGTACTGGAGAAAAATACTTTCTTCCTGTAATAGTTAATGATGCATAAGTATGGATCAAGTAAACTAGAACACAAGAGATATAGATCAGGTCAAGACTAGCTGGTGCAAGCATCTGTTCTTTGCTCATATATTGATTGAATGTGTCACCTTCTTTTAAACTAAAAAAAAAGGCTGGACTAATATTGAAAATATACAGCTCAGCCAGTGCAGACAACAACTGTAATAAAATGTTAAGTTTATAAATATTTTTATTGATTTCCATCTTGTAAAAGGACCACATAGAGCCTGAACTGATATCTCATTGCAAGCTAGAATGAATTGGACAGGGAAATACGATCTCGTGAATCTGTTCTGTAAATATTTTGTTGACTGTACTACTTGAGCACCTTGGAATTCAGGTTTGGCTGGTGAGGGAGGACACAGCCAAATTCATTTTTGGACATTGTGCTGCCAACTCAATTAAAATTGAATTTAATAATAAGAGATGTGAAATTACTCAACTGGAAGAAAGACATCAAATGTACAGTGAAAGGATCAGTGTGCCTAGTAGTATTGTTCCTGAATGGATCTTAGAATTTTAATTGAGTGTAAATTAGTAGTGTGATTGTCCATATACATGAGCAATATTGATGCAGTCTCAAAATGTGTATTTTGGGACTGCATTAATAACTCACAAGAAGTGGCAGTTATTGTATTGAGAACAGTATTACAGATCTGAATGATCAATAGGGGGCAAAAAATCTAACATGTATCAGGAGAGGGATGAGTCCACAGCAGGGCTGGATTATGGATTTTTTGTTTAGATTCCTGCATTGAGCAGAGTTGGGAGCACATCTGTATTTCTGAGAACCCAGTTATATCCTGCCTATACCAAAGCACAAAACAGAGCTTTCTAGATCAACTGGATGGAATGGTAAACTTTACAGTTCTCCATAAATATCTACAAGTTGGTGGGCTATTACAAGTGAGTGAGCCAGAATATAGATGATATAATATATGGCCAAAGATATGAACATGTAAAAACAGCTTTCCTTAAAAAGATTTTCCTAAACATTTTTTAAAGAGTTAGTTGTGAGACTATAGCTCCTAAAAGTGATTATTCAAGCATATTTCTTTGTCCCACTAAAATTATTGAATGCTGCATATTCAGTTTAATTAATCAATTCACTTGGATATTCAATATTTATTACAAAAGAAAGCTAATCAAGTATGACACCAGAGTCGGTGTTAATTCTATATAAGATTTAAATTCACATAATAATATGGCTTGTTTAATTGTGAGTTATCTTATGTGAATCCAGTCACTGGTATTTATAATCTATGGTTTGTGGGCCAAATGGCAACCTTTCTGAGATTCTGAATTTAGGTAGGTCAGTGGTCACAGGGGCACAATCGTATCACGTAAATGGACAGAATTGTAATTTTCCATTGTTTCCCCTGGATACAGTTTTTTTAAAAAACACCTGTTTCAGACTTAAATTTTTTTGTGTGTTGTGTGTTCTGCCTTGGAATATCAGAATGCTGTTGTGACCTTTTCACTTTAATGTGAATGTGGTCAGAGCAGATTCAGGTTTCCATTTCAGTTTCAAGATGCTCATACAAATACAAACAATATAAATAATACAAATTCAATAAATAATAGCTCAGCAAAAGTAAATCCAGTCATGAAAACAGCAAAGCTGGTGCTAGTGGATAGAATGACTAATATTTTCAATTCTCATTTGCTTGGTTTCTCAACTGCTTTTCTGGTCAGGGTCAGTTTAGGCAACTGAGTTTAAACAGTATACATGCTGGATGGATATTTCTAGAATACATATACAATATAACACCAACCCTTACTTATCCCCAACCACTAAATATCTACTTAAATGCAAACACCTTGCATCACTTCTGGAAGGTCTCCAGGTCTGATCTTAGGTTTTATGGCAGGGAGGAGAACTTGTTTTCTCTCAAGGCCCACAGTGAGTAAGAGAAATCATCCCTCTCCTGTTTCTCTCCTTTCCCAACCAATGGACTACCAGGACATGTCATCATTGTCCAAAAACTGAGCTAACATACAGGTCTTTTAATACATTTTAATTTCAGGGCTGTGGGAAAAGAAAGGTAGGATTATACTTGAATGACTTTATCAGAATTTGGCATTGGGGATGCAATCAGTAGCTTGAGACAGAAGGCCCAAGTTGGATTAGACCTGTCAAGTGAGATTGAAGAGATTTTACCAGCACCTAGGCTCCTCTACTTTGGCCACCTAATGAGAAGGAAGGACTCACTGGAGGAAGGCCTAATGCTGGGAAGATTGAGGGCAATAGAAGAAGGGGACAACAGAGAATGAGGTGGCTGGATGGAGTCACTGAAGCAGTAGGCATGAGCTTAAATGGACTCCAGAAGATGGTAGAGGACAGGAAGACCTGGAGGAACGTTGTCCATGGGGTCGCAATGGGTCGGACACGACTTCGCAATTAACAACAACGCCTCCTCTGTGCATTATTTGTCTGCAATATAATAGCAGCCATAAAGTGAATAATGGCTCACTTCTTCATGGCTTGCCTACCCTACCCCCTACCCCTATGTAATGCTTGACTTTTAATAATGCAATTGTCCTTCCAAATTGGCATTTATCATTTATTTATTATATATCCATACTGGACCCAGATTTTACACACATGGATCCTTTCCCACATTCCTTCCTTTAGCATTTTACCTCCTTGAGTTGGTGGATCGGTCCCTTCAGCTGGAGGTGGGAGATTTGGCAGGGGGGAGGGGGATGGTGAGAGACGGGAAATGGCATTAGAGGGCACAGCAATGATGACAGGCATGAGAATGTATGGTGGGAGACAGCGTGGGTAAAAACCAAAAAAGAAGTCTCTAAGGGCTAAGATATTTCAAGACTTAATGGGATCAGTGGATCAAGTGCAACTTTTTTTTAAAGGAACTCAGCAATCCAGGGCAGGGACCAGCCAATGAAGGCAAGTCCAGTGTTGTAGCCAATTGGTGCTAGAGCTACTATCAAACCATCTATTCTGAAAGGCTTAAGATGTTCTGGTTCAGAAGCAACCATTTTAAATCTAAGCTGGAAAATGTGGGCATGGAGCGTATTTTCAATCATCTGTGTGAAGGAGGATGGAGAAAGCACTGGATTTCCCATGCTGGCAATGGGCCAAGCAGATCTGCCCTAAAATAGACAGAAAGCTGTTCTCCATAAAGCAGGCTCCATACCCATCCTAAAATAGTTGCTTAGACAGCCTGATCTTAGATTCTGATCCTAAATCACATGGAAAAATGAGGTAATAGATTTTTTTTTGGTCCTTTTCTCATTGTTTTAAAAGAAAAAAAAATGAATTTGCTTCGATCCCATGTCACAGGTTAGCTGTGAGAATGACTTACGAGCTTGTCTAATCTGGAAATGATAATAGAAGAAATTCCATGGCTGGATTACTGAAAAGATTTAATCCTTCCACCTTTTTCTATTTTGGTTTCCCATGATCTAGCACAGGGGTAGGCAACCTTGGCTCTTTTATGACTCGTGGACTCAGGAATTCTGGGAGTTGAAGTCTACAAGTCATAAAAGAGCCAAGGTTGCCTATTCCTGATCTAGCAACAAGGAAAAGATGTAAGTTTTAAAGCGGGTTGCTGAGCTTTGAATGTTCAGCCAAGCATCAATTTCCCAAGTGCCTTTGCATCTTCTTTCTTGAGTGGGAAACTCCAGAAATCGTTAATAACAAGGAGGAATACAAGCCCACTTTCTAAGTAAGCAAAAGGAAATGCAAATTAGGTCATTTTTATCAGCTACTGGACAATCCATTGGGTCATCTTTTGAGAGAAAGATCTGATGTGTCCAGAATGAAAACACAATAAATGGTATTGCTATCATTTTGCTTTGAAAATTAAAGAAAAAAACATCAGTTTATTAAAAAATAAATATTTGCAGCAAGAGAAATATTGTTCCCTGCAGTCACATGAATGTGATTTCCAAGAGTACCTGCTGGTTCACCATTGGCTTTCCTGCTGGGGACCTGACAAGAAGCATTGGAAATCATGGCTACAGGGAAACTACAACAGCCACAACTTTGCAAACAAACTGTTCTGAACATTCTAGAAATTTCAACTCAATTGGATAGTAGGTCTCAAATTGTTCATATTTTTAAGTTAGCAGATTTTAAGTACCTTGATTCAAAAAAATGTTGCAATCATTTGGGCTAACTTGAGGGTACAAACAGACAAACCAAACACTGAGAATTTTAGTAATATATAGATCTGGAAATCCCAGGTTAATGATTGCCTTTCTTCAGGAGATAACTAGTCATGTAGTAAATACAAAAAGTTGTGCTACTTGCTTAATAGATGGAATGAAACAATCTCTAAAATGCTAATGTTACAGTTAACTTAAATTGCAAAGACGACACTGCCACAACAGTTTATCACAAAATAAGATATTATATCGTACTACTTCATTAAAGTGATCAATTTTTTTACAATGAAAAGGAGGTCACAAATAAATTGAAGAAAAAAATATCGTACATAAAAGAAACATTTTATTCATTGCAACAATAATACAGAATACACTATAATATGATAAATGCATATTAAAAAACATAACAATTTATATTATAATTATGCTTCATGCCGCACGCCCCTGCCCGCAACCGCCCTGCCAGCACTGCAGCCCCGCCATGTAAAGCGGGCCCCGAGGTTCCCAAAGCACCAGCTGTGCCGGCTCCGGCCCTGGGGGGCAGCCCGCCGTCGACACATCCTGCCTGCAGTCACCCCGCCAGCACCACCGCCCACCCTGCACAGCCCCGTGTAGAACAGGCCCCGCGGCTCCCACAGCACAGGGCAGCCGGCCACCGCCACTCCTCACACCCCCGCTTGCAGCAGCCCCGCTGCCTCTGCCTCTTGCGCCTGCAGCCCTTATTGCCCTAGCAGGGCCGAAGATCAAGAGAAAGTTACCGTGGCGTTGCTGCTCCAGTCTCCTCCAGGTATCTTTGGGACTAACTAGGAGATGGTGTAGTTGGATAGCAAGGAGGGGTGCAAAGTTCCTGCCAATTCACCTTTGCTGCAGACAACTTACATGTGCAAAGTTTGCCGGCTGGGTGTTTTGGCGCGTTCAGCAGCAATTCCTATTGGCTTTCGAAAGCCAATAGGGGGAGTAGCACAGCTCATGCAAAAGTTGAAAAAAAACCATAAAAAAGGTGCCAGAAAGCCGTTCTGAGCGTTCTATGAGAAAAAAAAGCCCTGCAGATTAGTCTTCAAATATCAAAAAGGAGGACATGTAGGAGGACACTTTTCGAGGGAGGACAGAACTTTAAAAAAGAGGACTGTCCTCCCTAAAGGAGGACGGTTGGTCACCTTATACTTCATTCCTGAAATCCAGTCAAGAGTTGACATTAATTGTATATGAGCAGTTCTAATCTTGGCATTGAAATGCCCCTGATCATTTTTGGAAATTGTCCCCCGCTGAATCTCCATACCTTAGTATGGAGGAGTACATCCATGCATGGTAATACATCCTATGTCAGCAAGCTGCTCTGGAACATGAAAAGTAAGAATAACAAAATTCATCTGATTATGTGCTGACTGCAAGTGATTAATATCGAACAGGCTCCAATATATCTAGCCTTAAAGGGTTTTGGATGGAAGGTTCTCATTCAACTGGCACTTCATTGTTTTCTCTGGGATGGCTGTGTTTCCCAGCCATTCCAGAGCTGTGAAAATTTACATCATCTTAAATCACACTGCCTACACAGCATCTTAATGAGCATCTGGAATGGGGCTATGCTGGATGGCTCCTCCACATGACACTGTAATTACAATTAATGGCAGTTTTCCTTGGCTGAAATTCAAATACTGCCAACTTCAGAAATAGCTGCCATGAAATTCTGTAGAAAATGTCTGTTGGAATAGTGCTTGTAATGTCTTGGCAGCCAATCGCTTTGTTCTTTTTTTAAAAAAAAATAGTCTAATGGCTATTCCTGGTTGTAAAGTGATTAGCTTACTTACTAACACCAGTCACCTGCATTTGTGCAGTCCAGGTGTAACTGCTACAGAAGTTTGGATACAGAGTTCAAGAAAAGAGTAAATCCAAGAAGAAATATATATTGTATCTACCTAATTTGTTCAAAATGATCATTGACCTATTGACTAAGGTGACCAACGTTTTTACAATGAAAAGGAGGACACAAATAAATTGAAGAAAAAAATATTGTAAATAAAAGAAACATTTTATTCATTGCAACAATAATACAGACAACTTGCATGTGCAAAGTTTGCTGGCCGGGTGTTTTGGCGCGCTCAGCAGCAATTCCTATTGGCTTTCGAAAGCCAATAGGGGGAGTAGCACAGCTCATGCAAAATTTGAAAAAAAACCCATCAAAAAAAGGTGCTGGAACGCCATTCTGAGCGTTCTATGAGAAAAAAAAGCCCTGCAGATTAGTCTTCAAATATTGAAAAGGAGGACATGTAGGAGGACACTTTTTGAGGGAGGACAAAACTTGAAAAAGGAGGACTGTCCTCCCTAAAGGAGTACAATTGGTCACCTTACTATTGACTGGTCATCTGAACAACCCAGGAACTACTCAGTGGCATCAATGACTTAGATGTTTCTGTTTCTCTGCCCAGATTTGTGGTTAAGAGTTGAGGAAGAGCTGGAGCTTGAGAAATTACTTTACTGGTTCTTATATCAAATCAAATCAAATCACAAATTTCTATCATCCAAAAGAGTTTAACGAGGTTGCACATTGAAATTGCATCTGTATCAGGTTATATTCTGTGATACAGGAAATATTCTTTAAAATAACATTTTGTTATCAGCCGCTTGAGATTAGCCACTCTTCAGAAAGGAATTTCCCACTGCTACAGAAACCACCAAATCCTTTCAAGCTTTCAGTCTCTCCTTAGATTGATGAACCTGTTTAAAAAAGTGGCAGGGGAAGGTAGAGTTCTGGGCCGTTTCTCATAGCCCAAATGGGCATTACAGACAAGGCCCTGAGCCCAGGGAAAGGGCAGAAAGGAGTTCGCTCACAGCAGGCTAATTGAAGCTGAACTATTCTTAACCACAATATCTCAAATTTATTCATAGATACATCATGGAGGTGTCCAGACAGAGAGACTTTTGCTGTATTCTCAGAGCAAATATTATTTTCGTGGTATACTTTGGTCCAGCTTCATATTTATGAGGCAGAGAAGAGAAGAGGACATGTTCTAAGCAAATGGAAAGCAGTAGTGCCTTTGAACTACTCCAAGCAGGCTCTGTAGTTGATCTGACAACACAGATATTAAGAAATGTGGCACTTTCTCTACAACTTCCTGAATGCATTCTGTATCAAGTTTAGAAAATATTTTTAAAGGCAATTCATGAAAAATAGATCAGCCCAATCTAAACTCACAAGACAATTATGAATAAATAGCCTTTTAGTGTGAAGTCATCTTGTATGCTTGTTAGTAATGGAGTTGGCCTAATGGATTGATTTTAGAGGATACTAGAACTTAATGCCAGTCCTGATAATCTGTAGTTTTATTTTCAATTTAGGAGAAGTAATTGCAAAGTAATAGCCTATGCACTATCATTATTTCTTTAGAGCTTGCAGAATTGGCAATTAATCATAGCCTGCCCCTTTGAGCTTCTGCCAATGGTAAATGACTTCTAATATCCTTACATATGAACATTTTGAGTTCTTTGGTCACTGTTCTTGATGGAAGAGAACATCCCCAAATGTCTATTATAACTATATCTTGATCAATCATTGTTCAACACTGAGGTTGAAGATTTTTAAGAAGAGATTGGACAACCATTTGTCTGAAACGATATAGGGTTTTCTGCTTGAGCAGGGGGTTGGACTAGAAGACCTCCAAGGTCCCTCCCAACTCTGTTATCCTGTTATTCTGCAAAACTTGGGGCTACTGTATCTGAATTGCACAAATCCAGACAAGTTGTATTAATCTCTTTGCTGCCATCCAATAATTTGATAGATTTTTGCAGGCCAGGCTTAATATTCTTATATAACTATTTTCCCAACACCATATTTTTTAACCACAAACCTGTGGGGGAATATCCTAGGAATATCCTAGCTAGGAACCAGTATTAATATGAAATACACTTTCTAAAAGGAGATGGATATATACTTACACATTTAAGGATAACTTATCTGTAAAGCACTCTACTTGTGTCTCTTTATGCATATTTTCACCAATCAAAATTTCCATTATCTCGTATAGCAGGATAGAATTGTTCCATGTGACCTGGAAATAATACAGCTGGAATTATATAATGCATTCCAAACAGCATTATTACTTGCTTTCTATTCTGAATACTAGTTGCCCAGTTCTTTGCCCAGAAGTGTCTAAATCAGAAGCAGCCAATCTGAAATTTCAGGTCTACATACAGTCCATGGAACACCACTGCTAAAAAGTATACTACGATTTTGCATAGAAATTGGCCTACCCCACCTGTGCTGGCAGAAGTCATGCTCGGGCCCCATTGGCCCAATTATTCTAGCTGGCAGGGTCCAGAAGAAAAACCTTTTCTGCAATTGTACCTGCACAATGAAAAGTTGTTCCCAACCCTCCTGACTTTTCATAATGGCCTAAAGATCTGGTACTGCCTGTTAGCTTGGGGTCCCAATGGGGAACCATCACAGTGGAGATGGTTGATTGAGTAACAACAGATCCCACCTCCCCCCCATCCTTCCCCCACCTTACCTATCTGTAATTGGATATTAATGGTTGATATTAACTAATTATATATATGAATGAATGAAGAATGAATGAATGAATGAATGAATGAATGAATGAATGAAAGCTCCCCCAGAGTTACCCTGTGGTAAAATGGGAGGCCAATACATTTTATAAATAAATAAATAAAATTCAGAAATCACACACACAGTTCCATAAACTCTCAAATCTATATCAAAGTTACCCTCAAATTCTGATTAGATGTAAAAAGAATCTTGGGCCATAACTGGCCTCATCTACTGTGACTATTGGCCTTCCCCCAAATATTAAATGAGACCCTGGTTACAAAAAGTGTCATCTATTATCTTAAATGCTCCATGTACAGTAGGATTATCTCAACTTAAAATAGACTTCAAGAGTCCAAACTAATTTATTGAGTTTTTTTTAAAAAAATAAAATGCATATACTTCTAACTTGGGTCTTTGAGGCAGCTGTGATTTCACTCCCTCTATCAATCTCCAAATAAAGGAAAACTATTCATTAGTACATTCTGCTTCTGTATTTAGTTATAATCATCTGAATCAGTTAAGAAAAGCTGTGAGATATGCCCCACTCTGTTGATTCCACCCCAAACACTGGAAATGCTATTTTTGAAGGTGCATTTCATTCAAGGCTGACTCATCCCAACTAAACATTACAACACAAGGACAAGAAGATTCTTAGTTGGTTAGGTTTCCCATTCCCATTGTTACCTTGTAGTTGCTTATATCCTATTGGGTTTCCAATAGGACAGTGCTTGTATAAGCAAATAGATGCTCATTTTTAAAAGGTTGCCTTTAGGCCTTTTTTTATTAGCAATAGCAATAGCACTTAGACTTATATACCACTTCATAGTGCTTTACAATCTTCTCTAAGTGGTTTACAGAGTCAGTATAATGCTCTCAACAATCTGGGTCCTCATTTTACGATCTCGGAAGGATGGAAGACTGAGTCAACCTTGAGCAGGTCAGGATCGAAATGCTAGCAGTGAGCAGCAAGTTAATCTGCAATCGTGTATTCTAACCACTGTGCCACCAAAGTTCAGTTTATTTATTAGATCTATTCACTAGACTATTAATGGTCCTTACTACAGTAATAATATTGTAATATAACACAATGCATTTATTTCATAAGTATTGAAAAAAATGAACCATTTTTATTCCATTCTACTCAAATTCCATTTGTTGCAAAATGAATGGCAAGCACAAAAATTTGGTACAGAATAAATATAGCAGTAGTATCATGATAGGCTCAAAGCTGTACATATCACACTATTCTTTTTAGAGAAGTAATATAATGCAGTTTAGAAACAGACGAAGAAATAGTAAACACTTCTATTTTTTTTCAAAATCATTCTGAATTTTTTTTTCTAGTGTTCCCCCACTATGCAACAAAGATAACAATATCTTTTCCTTATCCTCATTTTTGTGGCAATCATAATCTTATATGCCTGTGTTTCCCATCCACAGCTTCTTTCACTTCAACCAAGTATTTTCTTTTTCGTATTTCCCATTAGCCTCTGTGGATTTCTGTGTCATTCAGTAACTAAAGCCTAATTATTATTTTCCAGGAGGTTTACATCCTCTTTCCACATATTCACATGTATTCATTATCTTGGATCTTGTAATACTTTTTCATTTTTACTTCCATTTTATAGAATGGAAAGCATACATTTACAGGATGGATTTAACCTTTTTTTAATTATGGCTTTGCTTAGGTCTAATACTGATATGATTTTCACATCAACAGAGGAATTTATTCTCTCCAATGCCAATATGAACTTTATCTGGGATTATAATCCACATTAGGCCAAAAAAAATTGGTTAAATCAGTTTCTAAGATTCCTCCCACCCCCCCAAAAAGCACTCCTGCAATCTCTGTCCTGATTTTTTTCAGGAAAAGCAAAAAAAAAAAAAAAAAAAAGATTTCAGGGATAAAAAAAAGGAATGCTACACGTAAGGAATAGATTTCATTAAAACCATGAATGGTCCCAGTCTTAAACTCAGAAGTGCCTTCGGAAAGGACAGGTTGGTAGCCATGATGATATATTGTGCATGCAATGCCATTAAAAATGAGTGGACCTTCAGTCGCTCCATGACGATCAACATCTTGCTTTTTTTTTTTTTTTAAAGTATATCCTATGGATATTCTGCTTAAAATGAAAAATGGAGAAAATCACTGATACTCCAAGGAAATTCAACCCTGAAGCCAAAAAATTTAGGATGATGCAAAACAGGATGATGATAAAAAAAATACTTTCAAAATCCTATCCAAATAATCTGTGAATTAAATTTTACAAAGAAATACCATTCTGATTTTAAAGCTCCTTAGCCTCTTTTACCAATCTTCAGACTCAGGATAAGGTAGGGAGGGGAAGAGTACGCAGAAGGAAGGCAAGGGTGAACAAGTAACAAAACATGTCACAAATTGTGCCCCTTGTGAAGTTGTGATACAAGTACAAAAGAATATAGCCTATTTATACAAATCACACTTGGGCATTATCCTGTCTAGCCAGAGATGCCTATACTTCTACAGAACCAGCATTTCAGCTTCCATAACTGTATTGTATTGTGACATTTATTCTGATCTCATAATATAGAAAACCCCATAGGCTAGGCAGGGCTCATCCTCTTTCCTCCAGATGACCAATAGGAAAGTTCAAAGAATATGGTCCAATCAATGTCCCACCCCAACCTTCCAGCTATCATAGGTCATGTAGTAACAAAATTCACCTCGGAAAAGAAGTTGCTAGACTAGCTTCTCCCTGCCTTTCATTGTTTTCACCGCATGTATTTGCATGCATTTACTTCTTAGTTTGCCAAAATATCAGTGAAGGTGCTGTGATGGAAAACTCTGCATGATATCATCAATTCTGAAAAAATGAACACTGAAATCCTCCAGAGACTTTGCAGCTTACTCACTAGCTTTCCTCTGTTTTGTTTAAAAGCTCCTCTGCTTTAGTATCAGGGTTATTTCTGTTATATTTGAAACTACAGCAATGTGAGAATTTTCTTTGAATCATCACAGATCTTGTAATTTTTGCATTGGCAGGAACTCTTGCCTTGCATTGCCTTCTGCAACTAAGACTCAAATCAACTGTCCCTTTCTCAATCAGTCTTCTCCTCTCCATAAAAAGTAAACATCTTTCTTCCAAAAACTTATTGTTCTGAGTGAGGAAAGTGAAATGAGAGTACCTCAGCCATTTTTCCTGTGACCATGGTTACATATTGCCACAGTGGCTGGACTTGGGAAGGAAAGGAATAAACAACGCACAAAGGACAAGTTCTGGTTTCCGGTATAACAGAAACGACCCTGATACTAAAGCAAATGATATAATGAGATTAATCACATCCAGAGCTGATCCAAAGTGAGGCAATAATGGATGTGAAAGTGCTCTCAGAGACGGCAAACAGGATGAAATATGTAATTCAGTAATAATAAGGAAAGTTAACTCTCCACATAGGTAAGGAGCACAATACAGGGTGCTTGATTTCACTCTCTTATGTGTAAAGAGGTCTGAAGAGGATATGCCACTTCTGTGTACTGGGACCAAGTGCTTATTTCATCAGCATCTATTATCAGGATCCTCCCTTGTTTACTTGTCTCTTCAAGGTTATCCAGCCTCAGGAACCAATGAAAACTGCTTAAATGTGTATGATATATGAATATTAGTATCCTGAGGACATGCATTGTTCATTACTAAGATAAAATAGAAAGTGTGGCGTACACAATCCTCATCCCACTGAAATATTCTCAGGCTGCCAACATGTGTTTGTGTTGTTGTCGTTAATTGCGAAGTCGTGTCCGACCCATCGCGACCCCATGGACAATGTTCCTCCAGGTCTTCCTGTCCTCTACCATCTTCTGGAGTCCATTTAAGTTCACACCTACTGCTTCAGTGACTCCATCCAGCCATCTCATTCTCTGTCGTCCCCTTCTTCTATTGCCCTCAATCTTTCCCAATACATGTGTTTGTATTGCCATTTAAATCCCACATCTACTGGATACACAATGACTTTTCTAAACTGACTAATCTAGTCAATCATCCAGTTGGGATAACAACAACAACAACAACAAAATAATAAAGTTGGAAGGCACCTTGGAGGTTTTCTAGTCCAACCCCCTGCTCAGGCAAGAAACCCTATACCAGTGGTTCTCAACCTTTTTAATGCCGCGACCCCAACCGGTCGCAAGTCGAGGACTAAACAACCGGACATAAGTCGAGGACTAAACAGGTTGTAAGTCGAGGACTATCCAACCGGTCGTAAGTTGAGGATTTTCCCTGCCCGGGAGCGCCACGCATGCGTGGTGCCACCCCCTGCGCCAGCCAAGGCATAGTTGGCAAGCGGCAGAGATGGCGCAGGGCGACCACTGGCTGGGCCACCAGCTGGCCCAGCCCAAGGGAGGTAAGGCACCCGCCAGGCCCCACGCGCACCAGCAACCTTCCCTGCGCCCGCTGGCCTCCCACCTCCCACCCCTGGCCCTCTTTTACTTACATTTTTAGTAGTTGCTCAGCAGGGAGGGGTGGA